CTGTAGACATTAATGGCCGTCGCTTGCATTAACTTTATATGAAAAAAAATCCTTTTGTAAACATTTAAATACATATAGAGTACCTAAAATGGCTGTTTACAGTTTCAATATTTTTTTTTATAAAATTCAAATACATAGGGAAGTGAGTTCTCTCTTTCTCTCTCTCTCATTTTTAAGCACTCTACCAGTCCTTTTATTCCAGTATTACGTTTCATTCCGGAGATGTAGTTGATCATGATGGACATTAATAGTGAACGGTGTCTTCTCGCGGCACGGCGAGGTTTTGAGGTTACATGTAACGCTATCCCTATGGTGAACTCCGTGTCGATATATTGCGGATAATTACATGTAATAAGAGACAGTTCTATTGTGATGTTTGGTTAGAGATTCGTGTCGTATGACTGAAATAAAATCATCTGTACCTCAGGTGAACAAGGAGCTTCCAGGTCTTTAGAATGATTTTATTTAGGACAGATGTATGAGGAAATTAGGTTAGATGGTGTGGTTTTGCGGTACTTTAATTTGAACTTATAATTTCAATACCATACATTTAAAACATTGGATAGAATAATTAAGTTTTTTCACGCTTTTTACCATTTTCATTAAATAGGTATCCAAAATTGTTTCTCGATATTCTAAGCATTTTTCTACGTAGTCCTTGTCCATGCAAGACTATAAAAATCATCCTTAATGACTTTTCACTGATTTGACTTCTGGGCATTTTGAACGTTAAATGCCTAGATCCGCACCTGCCAAGTTATTTCGTCCGTAATCAAACACTTATAAGCTCCCCCCTTTAGGTAAATCTCGTATTATATGACAGATGAATCACTGGCTGTAAACTTTATACCCATCTTTGTTACAATGATTTATGGGAGATGTGGTTTCTCTGGGTATTTGAAATATATCACATTGTGGTCTGGGTAAAGGACGAGGGGGTACGAGGGTCATAATCTGTGTGTGGCTGAATCTTCAGTTAGTTCTGAATAGAGCGATTTTATCAGACACAACTTTTTTTTCAATTATGAGACGAAAATCGACTCTGGTGTGAAAATGATGACTGAAGTTTATACCTAAGACAGAATTCGCACGATTGTTCGGAAATTCTAATTCTTTAATGTATGTATATATGTAATTTAAACATATTTTATTGAGTAATTCAATAAGGATTGGGCAACAGGCAAGGCCTATGCACACCCTCTCCTTGTATAATAGGTCAAGACATAGACATTGAATAATAATACTTGAACATGGTAATAAACTTGCTGTATATATGCATATATTCTCAGCATAAATAGCCCCCTCCCCCCATCCCCCTTTTTTTTATCTGTATGCTTTTGAATCACTCTAACTTTGCACGCAGTCCTGAAATAACTAAATAATCACCTCTCTTAAATAACCATTATGTTTTTTTTCATATTTGAAATGTCAGCATATATATATATATATATATATATATATATATATATATATATATATATATATATATATATATATATATATATATATATATATATATATATATATATATATATATATATTATATTGCTACACACGTGAATAAATTTAACATAAGTTCGGAATCGTAGTTGTCTATATCTGAACCACACTTTAGCTGCAAACCTGTTTCATAAATACAGACCTTAAAAAAATCATAACATCCTAACAAATTCTGCATCTGAACCAATCAAAAGACCTTTATTCCACAGCTGTCTGTGACATATGACATGGCGTTGTTATTACAATTTATTACATATCGATCCCGACCAAGCAGTGACATTAAACATTTACACGGACTTCGACAAGATTAAAGGGGATTTACAGGTAAAATAAGAGCAAACCTTTGTCCAGCTTATGACAAACTAAATCAATTCTAAATAAATACACCTATTGTGGGGCTATTTGCGGCCTTTATGTCATCCTCACTTGACTGTGTTTAGCATGGTAAACATAGTGCTGGACGCTAATTGATTTAGAGACAATTCGATTGAGACTTTTGCCTTCCGGCCCTCCTTTCTTTATAGAAGTGGCCATGTTTTTAATGGCGCTTAATTAAAGGTTACGGGGGATATTGGAGGGATTTGGATATTCAGCAGAAAAAAAAATTACGGTTACCTGTACATTGCTTGGTTGTAATTTGTTAGGAACTCTAAAAATAAGAAGAAAGATTTTTGCTTGAACTATTGTAACTCTTAGCTGTCACATTCGTTTCTTGAAAACACTGTACAGGATTGTATGGACCTGAAAAAGTAATGATTACAATGTAAATTTGGTTATAATATGAGTCAAACTCAGAGGTCTTTAGTATCTATTCACTATATACACTGTAGCTAGGGAAATTCTACTTGTGAAAATGCAGTGTCATGAATGCAAATGGACAGAGAACCGATGAATGCGTATAATTGGAATTTAACGAACCCTGGAACATCTCCGTGCGGATATCGTTAACGTGTCGTCTGCGCATTTGCTATGGCGATCCAAAAGACAAATTATCTTAAAGAATTTACACTTTTCCGGAGTCAGCGAGGTATTCGTCCATTTACACCGAGCTTCTCCGGGGCTCGGGAAGTAATTTTTCTTCCGCAACACACGGACATCAAACATCTGCTTCACAGCTGTTTCGTCCATTAGAAAAATCAGCCACGTGTGGATGTATCTTCTGCTTCTGTGAATGTTCACTCGCGCTGAAACAATGATCTGTCATAATTAATTTTCGATTGGAAATTTATCTGCGATTTGTTATGCTTTTATCGTAATTACGCCTTCATCTAGATGTATAGTGCCCTTTGTGTGTCAGGGGAATAAGTCTTCACATTGATAATGTTCTCTGACAATGTGAATCGTAGGATGCATGTATCACCAACATAGATTGGTTTTACATGGTGAATGTACATGCATTTTGTTTACCCTTGCAGGAAATATCCAAGGTAACATTTTATTTTGATTTTGAAATATTGCTTTTCCCTGACACCCAGTACGTCAAGGAAAAAATGAACCTTTAACTAGAAATTAACAATTTTTTTTCTCTTACCATTCATATAGGTATTGTAGGTGTTACGTATTCATAAAAATTCATAAAGTTCATCATCAGAATCCCCAAACTATGGAAATTAATATTTTTTATTTTATTTACTTTTTTGGGGCTTGTATTGACTTTAATTATCTTTCTCGCATGTGAAATATGAAATTCTGATTTTTTGCACACTGGTTTTCACACAATTATTAATTAACTGTTGTGGACAATTATTAGTTGTTCATTCATTTTTCACACTTTCAGTTTGACATATTTGATGATGCAACCCTCAATATAAAAAAGAGCAAGTTTACTCAGCCATCACAATAATCTTCCAAGCCGTAAAAAATACTTTTTAGTAGAAAATAGAAACAAATAATACATTTTACACGAGTTTACTTGTATGTGACAATGTTGTGATAAATAAGAAAACAAAGGAGTTCCGAGTAGTGTGTTCAAACGCACAATACAACACCGGATTACCTCGGGATTATCCCGCCCTTTTGTGTTGACAAGGGGATTAACTCCGATCAACAGGTAAACAGCGGGTAAATGTTTGTGTAAACAGCGATAAACACGAGGGAAAAGTGATATGACATTTCTGGGACACTTTTAAACTAGTTTTGGACATGATTAGAGTTCAGAGTTCACACACTTATGCGAAGTAAGGAATTTTTTTTTTTTTTTTTTTTTTTTGGTTGTCGTTGTTTTCAAAAACCGTTTAATTTAAATTTTAGTTATGACCTTTACTGATAAAAAAATGTATGTAAAATTATTATTCATTTCCATATAGACTACTATATAATGTATACACAGTAATTAATGTGTATAGTATTGTAAATGCTTTAATTCTTTTCTCCAGCCAGTAAATAAAAAAAAAAAATCATCAGCCATGATTTTTGATTAGTTTATGTGAATATTAATAAGTGGACCCTTGTATCTTTTCGAAGCAGTACTTACATCAATTAATTATGCATAGATATTATGAACCCAGCACGTAATAAATAAGAAGTGCATGTGTAAAAATAAAATATGTCCAGCTTATTTAATTTGAATTTTGATCGTGAGTGGTGATGGTGGTGGTGTTTATTTTGGCACTCCACAAGACACCACTCACACTCCCACCCCCAAAAAATATAATAATAAAATGATGATCAACATTTAATTCTGTTTGTTTTTATTTGCAGGCACAGAAAAAAAACGGATCTTCAGTATAGATGTACAGAGGTAATGCATATATTTTTATAGTTCTACCCAAAAAGATCAATGCTAAAATTAATGGATTCCTGAATAATTTTTGGCATATGGATATTACTATTGATATGAATTGTTCAGGCAGAGTTATTTATTTGTTTATTTATTGTTAAAAATGAATCGAATCGAATAACTCCTAACTCCCCAGGTTTAAATTTTTACATATTTATATTTTTTTTTTTAAAAACTTCATTTTGTAAAAAAAAAGATCAAATAAAATTATATCTGTATATAGTAAAAACGGACGATACAAGATTTTTTAATTTCTCATTTTAAAATTTATGTGTGTTTTTGGTATGTTTGGTGGATGAATATCGCTGATAAATGTAATTGAATAAAGTAAATAAAGGAAAATAGAGGTAACATCATGCCTTCAGTATGGAACATAAAATATTATGCTTCGGAGATGTGAAGCATTAAATTGGAGTTCTACACAAACTCGCTCACCTGATTCTCTGATTAAACTAAAACCGTCAGAGTAAAGGGAAATGGAGAAATGTTTTAGGGTACCTGGTACGAATGTAGATATAAAATGTTAATGGCGCAAAATTTGACAAAAAATTCGATACATTATAAATATAACCACAATCGCACATTATGGCTGTTAAATTACCATTGTCAATGTCTCACGAATGTTTCGTTCGGTATGTGTTATCTCCAGATCAGTAAAGCGTATCATTGACCCCGCGCGCTTTCAAGAATCAAACTAGCAATACAGGTAAAAATCGTCCGATTCAACGGAATTTTAATAGCATATGTAAAGGTGAAAGAAGACCTCATTAATTCAGCGTTATCACACGTGTATTAGCAAAATCTTGACATAGCGATAGAAAAACGGTCCCCTCTCTTTTTCCCTTCAGGCTCGTGTTAGACAGCAATTTTAAGAGATATTTTCATTACCCATCATATGTGCTATGTGAATTATGGGAGAAAGGAAAATTATGCCTTCGCTTTGGAATTGACTTTTATCGGGAACAGAGATTTTGTTGTTGTAATTGGAGCTTTTGTTTGGCCGTGTTTCTTCAATTGCTCGTCAAACTTAAGCCAGCGGTTCTGGCTATTAAGTATTCCAGAATCTGTACATATGTTGGACACAGACTCTCTCTAGAGTAAATGGATTGTTGATTTAAACATTATAATCTGTTAGGGTGTGGACTTTCTCTTATTGAGAAGAAATGTGAACAGGTTTGTGATTTCATGTTTTTGGTAATTCAGATATTTTTCATTCAGTAATGATCATAATAACTCATATTTGGTTTACAATGGGTTTGTATTCATCGGCGAAACTTACAAAAATATGCAGATTGTTTGGTTCTTCAAAACTTTTATTTGAAGCGTATAGTATATGATTTTCAAGTTAGAGGCGATGCTTTAATAGACTTTGAATGTTGACATTTGATCGTATTCAATCGTTTATTGATGCCATATGTCAAAATGCAGTGGACACTTTTACTAATAATTTTTTAATCATACTAAAGCTTATTTTGTCTAAAAAACATAAATTTAGTTGCTTTGAATTCAGCATACGATTGCTAGAAATGAACCAAAAAAAATGCAACAAAAACATAATGATTCCTAATTTTCCTTTAGTGTGTATACCATATATTTTAATAAAATCAAGACAAATTAATAAATTCAAGGGTAAAGTTATGAAAACATCAACTCCCAATAAGAAAAATTAAAAGCTGAATCTATTATCCCAGTCTGGGGACGACGTTCTAGGATCGGACTGATTAATTATGTATGTATATACAGCGGTTTTTGTAAATCTTTGTCTTGGATTGAATAATAATGCCTTTTATGTGGCCTGTGTTCAGAGATTCGCTAGATAATTTGTCGTTTATATGCGGGAAGAGATGTAAGGATGAATAAAGCGGATCTCACCATGCTTATCGAGAAACTTGTGGTCCTCTGTCATTGGTTGTATAGGTACATGTAAATAATGGCCGGTGTTTCATCAAGAATTAGGCAACCATTCCGTGTGATCTATCGTGTTAGATTCTTGTTGCTTCTTGCCCTCCATCATCTAATTCAATCGATACATTTTTTTCGAAGTTTGCTCATACTTATGAGGACCATTTTGATTTTGATTTTTTATTTTATTTATTTTTTTTTTTTTTTGGTCCATTTTTTTCTTGTTTATGTAAAATAATTTGCGACCAAGCTTCAGTCGTATTATATATACATGAACTATTTATTTCCACGATTCATCTTCAATATCATTTCATTAAGAGTAAAAACTTGTCGAAAACTAACATAAATAAGTACTTTTTTTTCAAAATAACAAAAATGTATTAAATTTCCTTTCAAAATTGTCTGCCCTATAAAAGATTTACTCTGATTTTTTCTCTCACTGCTTACATGCAGAATACCTGTCATAGACGGAGAACTGAAGAATGAAATGTTTTTGACGGCAATATGCTAATTATTGTATTTAATATTAATAACTATTGATATCGAACTGTATATAACGCAAGACTGGAACGGATGAAACAGAGAAAATATGATGACATCTGCATGATGCAGGCATGAGTAGAAGCCATTCATTTACTTACATATTTGTACAAACCACACATAACACCCCTTTCTAATGTAGTTTTCTTATCTATATGTATATAGAGAGGAGCTGAGGGCAACATAATGTTGTGTATTCAGCAAACGTGCTAGTACAAACAACCCCCACATACAGGTAAATAAAACCAAGTATACCCCACGACATTAGTGTCCACCACAGGCCGTGTCTTATCAGGTAGATAAAGGGAGAGAGAATCGTTCCTCTTCAAACCAAAAACAATTGTCATTAGAGGTCATTAAATGCTAAACTTGTTTTTCAAACTTCACGAAAATTTTGTTCTTTACGCATTGAATTCTCTCTATCTCTCTCTCCAAAATAGTAACAAGATCTTACAAAATACTACTTTACAACTATAGTTTTTTTTTCTGCTAAGAGGAACGTGTGTGTGTGTGTGGGGGGGGGGGGGGTAAATTAAGAATATGACATACAGCAATAGAATATCAGTGTTTGTTTTTGAGGACAATATATAACGCTCCTACGAGTTGTCTTAACTTGGGATAAGATTGGGGGAAATAACATATTTAATGGAAATAATAAACCAATTCAAATCTATTCATGTGATATTTCTTCATATAATGTCGTATTTGCCCAGTTAAAATGATATATGGATTTCTTATTAGGCAGAATAAGACATGTCAGACAGTATTCAAATAATGAAAATATCGCTTCCTTAGATCCGCCACTATCATTGATACACAAACTGTAGTTAATTACAGTGACCCCTCAGAACAAACCTCTTGTCCGACAGTATGCTCATTTCTGCTATAAACGTCAACGGCTCTTGTATAAGAGGAAGGCATTTCTTGTTCCTCTGACCTAACACATAAAAAAATCCATGTTGTCATGGCAACGGATCATGTCTGCATTTCCCCCCAGAAATCCCTGTATTAGATCCCGATTTCTGTCTTTTTCTCTTGGTGACAATTGAAGGATTTGCTGTAGGTTCGTCTAACATTGTGTTACGGGAGTAGGGAATGTTCTTATCCCTGGATTGTGGTAAAGCATATATTTTACGATAATATTAATTGCTAATATTCGTGCATCACAATTACTTTCAAACGAGAAGAACAGAAAAATGACTTCTTTAAAATGTCCATTATGTTGGGTTTTAAGGCTTTTTTTGAGCAGAGAATGGTAGATAATAAATTATGAAATATTTTATCATGTGGAATACAAAACAGTAATTTTACACAATGATTAGTTAATAAGATTGATAAGATTTGTTTTTTATGCATGTTGAATACAAAACTGTAATTATTTGCATATCTATATATATGGTCTGTTTTTATACGAAAGTATTCAGAAAATTTTGTCATAGTTTCATTATGAGGAAGTGCAATTATACTGGTGTAAGATTATTTCTAGCCATATTATAAAACGATCCAAATATTCAAGAATTCGAAACTTTTATTAAAAATATAATGATTTATTCATGTGAACCCGATAATACGTTGCTGTGAAACAACTTTACAAATTTGACGCATTATTTTAAGTGCTTCAAAATAACCGCTTAAGTAAAGTAAACCTGTCAAAAATGTCAGTTATTTTTTTTAAATGATCCTTTTAATGCTTTACACGGCCCAGTGATAATGGGGAAAATGCTACAGTTCTATACATTGTTAGAGGCGATCATTGCATGCAGATAAAATCTGACATTGTGTTAACTAACCGTGCAGTGTTGTAGCAACAAGATCTCTGCGTGCATCATGCGGGAAAAGGACAACCAAAAAAGAAAGATGTTAATGAATCTATGGTTCCCATAATATACTTGTATATCTAAACAAGATTTCAAAAGCGTTGACAAGAATACAAAAATAATAATGTTTTCATATTTCACGAAGTTTATTCTCTAGAAATCTTATTCCCCTCTTTTTCCCGGATATTAATTATAGTTTACATATAATTAATACAATAATGTTGTTTTATGGTTACTCGATCATTAAGAACATTCCATTTTTCACCAAAGGACATCAAATTTTAATTTCTACTCTCTGAATATATTATTACATTACTTTTTAGGGTTACTTTGACACTTTCAGGTATTTTGATAATGTTTAGTGATAATGTTTAATGATAATGTTAATTGTACAAAGTTTCATGTGCTCTGAAGCCACCGGGCTGTTTTAATTAATTTTGTATTTTTGCGAAAAAAACACTTTATCAAGTTAATTATAAGAATAAGATTTTATTTTTATTAATTTACACAAATAGTTAAAATTAAATCTGGTTCTTTAATTCTAATACTATTAAGGGAAATATCCTCCTCATGCTATAGTTGAAAAAAAATACGCAATGAAATAACATTCATATTTCTTATTATGCTGTCAGATGCTTTGTGTAGTTTTTTTTATGGTGACAGACAGACCTTGTAAACATAAATAACATACTGATAGATGGATAGTCTGACCTAGAACAATTGACCATCAACTGTCCCCTTCAGCCATGCATATCACGAATGGACTCGGTCCATTAAATAATCATTCACACATGAACAAATAAGTTTTTTTATATGTCTGTAAAAGTATGTTTCCATTTGTTTTGGGGGACAGAGTGTTAGGGACATTGGACAGTGTGCACCAAAATATCGGGACATTTTAAGGTGATTTTTTTAGTATATAACTTTTTTCTTCAACTTGATTTCCCTGCAAAGGAACTACATGTGTATTTGTTTAAAGTTAGTACATTTTCAATTATTTATTATTGATGGGATTATTATTTTATAATTTGGTGAATCCTAACTAAAGAGGGAGAGGCATCAGAATTTGATTTGGGTTTAATTGTCTTTTTACCTGAAAGGCATATTTATTTGTATTATTAATTTATTATTATTAGGAGGTGGTTGTCTTGTCTTCCATGTATTATTGACTACTGGAAAACACAAGACCTATAAGTGTTCCTGTGTTTGTAAATTGAAAATATAATTGTAATGATGAAATGACACTCAATTTAAGATCATATAATATTGTTCTCATGTGATTAATCGAGTAAGAAGTACAGATAAGGGAGAATTGTGTAAAATCAAATAAAGTTTCAAACAAGTGAATTGCACATTAAAGATTTTTCAAAGATCTGTAAGAATACCGGGGTATTATCTACCCACGATGAAGTGGATTTAGTTACACGTAACTTCCTTTTTATTCCCAAATTTAATCGTCTACAATAATAATAGATATTATTTCTATCATTGTATAAATTCCTACCCTCTAATTCATGTATTATGAAATGCATTGAACACTTGTCAATTCGATTGACACAAAACCTTTAATCAACATTCAGATGTCTTGATACTGTATAAATCCCAAATTAAAATAAACCCTGTGTATAACATTATAATAAAAAAGGGGCGATAAATATCAATAAAAGGGGGAGATAACTATCAATTACTTCACGTCACTGCCACATGAATCCCCTTTCACCTATTGTATTGGTATATAATTCCGGATTAGTCTGAATATTCTTACTTTCACTGCTAGTGTTTATGTGGGAAAAAAACTCATAATCGGATTACAGCTACTGTAGGCATCTATCCGAATAACTGTTTTAGTCTTTCAACAATTAAGCCGTCATTTAACAAGGGATTGTCATAGATTAGTGTAAAACTTTCAAAGATAGAATTAAAATCCATATACCTTTAATCCTATCTAGAAAAGTATTTTTATCGGATACAGTCATTTTAAAAATATTTCTGTTTTATTACAGAAAACTAATCAACAAAGAAGACCACTAGGCAAAAAGTCTACATGACGAGTAAAGAGTAAAAAAAAAACTACTTCTTCCGGTAGAAAGATGGAGATGTTATGCGAGATTCTTGTTTTGTGTGCAGTGTTTGTCATGATGACCTCCGCGGAACAATGCGTCATCAAAGGTCAAGTGAACACGAGGCTGCCGTGGTACGGATACATGTTACAGAAGACATTTCAGGGAAAAGACGCTAAGGTGGAGTATCAGATAACGTATCCAGAAAAGGAATGCTGTGCTAACCTGTTGATTTATTATGATGATCAGATATCCCAGTTAACCGATTCCATGTCCTGTCAGGAACGTGTGGATGTACTTCCAACACATAATTATCAGGTCATCCCATTGTCCACTCGGAATGCTACTAAAGGCTGCATTCTCTACCCCGACAGTGAGGGGACGAATTTGTATGTTTGCACGGGTGACCGGACTTTCAAATCCGACGGACCTCGGACGTGGTATTTCGCTATTAGTAGATGTGGTGCCTCATCAAGTCAAGGGATGCTGAATATGAATTATTATTTCAATGTGACCGGATATTATGGAAAATGTGAAGCAGATCCCCTATCTAAAACAATATACCCGGAAATCATTAAAAGTGATCCGGATGTTGTGGTCGTTGTTATTCTGGGAGTGTTGTGTGGGATTTCTACCATCGCCGCCATTGTTTTTGGAGTCTTGTTCTTTTTCGGTAGAATCAGACGAAAGAACAAGAAAAAGAAAGGTGGGTCTGTGACTTCATCTCAAGCAACGATGACGCAAGATATTTTTTACGTTAACCCCTCGTTATCCGACAGAGAACATTCGGACTCTCAGTATAGCCATAGTCAATCTAGCGGATCAGAGAATTATTATGAGGTAATTCCGGACAGACGTAGCTACGAGAGCATAAATACTCAGCTTGTCATGCACGGGCATAACGTTCGAGGAGTTTCGATGAACCCTAATCATCTCCGAGAACATAGAACGCCCAACATTCCACCGTATATCCTCGAGAATTACCCACCTCCCCCATATCAACCACCAACAGGACAACAAAATGGTGGTTTGCATCATCGATCCCACGCAGCTGGACACCATGGCAATAACAACGGAAGTCAGCCACTTTCACAGCAGACTTCTAATGGAAACATTCCGAATGGGCGTCCAATGCAGATGCATCCTTCCGGGCATCCTCCGCCTTCGTCGAACATTATCCATCAGCAACATCATTCCATGTCTGGACTGCAAACCGGAGAAAACTCGGAACCCTCGACAAACAGTCATCCCGTACACATCAGTGGGAACCGTTCCGGAAGTGCTCCTGTTCACTTTGATAATGTTGGTGCGATTGCTCGACCCACTCCAATTTATCCTAGTCCTAATGGGATTCTCTTCGGAACGCATCCATCTCGATCATCTCAACCCACCTCCCCATCTTCTCATGGAGTACCAAACGGAAATATTCCGAATGGACATCTTAATAATAATAACATTATTCACACAAGTCAAGCTTTCAAAAGACAGCTATCTGCTGGCCCTAAACTAAACAGTGTTCCGAACGGCCAACCTTTACAGCTTCAAACATACCAGGGTCACGATAAGACTTTGGGTGAAACACAGACTCCGAACGGAAGGACTCAACTTCCGAACGGTAATATTCCAAACGGTCGCACGAATGTTCCGAATGGAAATGTTGCCAAACTTTTGCACGATGCTTATAGAATTCAGCAGTTTGAGACGACCGCCTGACTAGCCGACGGCAAACAGACGTGGAATGAGATTTCTGTGTAATGAAAGAGTGCAATTGACAAAGCAAGTCTCACAAAAACGATTTGCCTGATCGAAATAATGCACCACATTTTACTTTCTGTAATTATGTTCTGGTAGAATTTCTGTCAGAAACATGCTAAAAGTCTGGACAAGTGCATTAAAAGTCTTGAAGGAAATTGTGTTGCAGACAAAGCAGACAATACCTAAACTGAAGAACTCAGCTATGATCGATTCCACAGCAGTCATAATTAGGACCGTAAATTTGACTTCAGCAATAAATTGCTTCGAAGTAAAATGCAGTTGAAAACTGTAATAAGCAGAATCTAACAACTGTGTCACATACATCATGTTCATGTAATTTATAGTCAGTTTTTATATACTTGTTGTTATATAGTGCTATCACCATTTCGTTTTATTCCACGTCTATAGAAATGATGTGGAACGTTTACAACACATTTATGAGTGACGTTTTCTATCGAACGAACTCATGTTTTGCGCTGATGTCACCCATTTTCACATGATCATGGCTACTAGCTACTATCAAAAGGCAGTGATCTTGGATGACATTGAAGCAAACTTACTTTTTGGGTGAAAGAATAAGAACTGTTGCCAAATTATGGATGGACAATACGTTTTAATTTTGATCCATTCAATTTACTTGTACAGGGAAATTAGTCAAGCAAACTTTAATCAGTACTAAATATACATAAACTTTAAATAATACATTTATGTACTGTATAACACTGTCTTCCGAACTGCTTTTTCACATTTTTATATCATCCCTGACTGGTCGACTTAAAAAAAGGGTGTGGGAAGGGTAGATGAATGAATTTTCATATATCATCTGTTGGGGTGTTCAGATGTGCGATGTATATGATGACACCAGTATGTGTTATCACGAAATCTTCAAGGTTTTTTTTTTTCTTTTCATTGGATTCTATGTCATGTCTTCCATATTATAAATAATTAACTTTGACTGGAAAAGTTTGGACAAAATTTTGATACTTTCAAAAGGAACGGCAAATAAATGGAAGAATTATACGCAGGAAAGTATTTTTTTATTGTGTGTATCTGTGTGATTGTCAGTGGGGGGAGGCGGGATTTACTAATCAAAAGAAGCTCCATTCATACTTGACTGCAGAAATCTGAAGAATTTCTTTCACATTTACTAAACAGAACTTTACAGAATTATAAAATATTTTCAGTTTGGTCCGTATCTTAACGTTCACATCATTTTAAAAAATAATTTCGTATTCGAATACATATATGTGTAACCTCCCAGGACATTACAATAGTACATGAACAAACTATTTACTGAACCCCTGTTTCCATTTTTCTTATAACTGACAATCTGCAATAAAAATAGACTCATTATTTAAACATCCCTGAATAAAAAAAAAATCAACTGATCAAATCATCAACAGATATAATAACATTGACAACATGTTTTTCAGTAAACCATAAGTTGTTATCGTCTCTTGTTTTTGTAATTCTCCGCCTGGGGGCGTGATAGATACAATGATAAATGTATATCCGCTCTGACGTATTTAATATGTTTGAATGTCTCTTTGTTAGTTTTACAAATGTCTTTGTAATATTATTGATTATTATAACCTAATGATATTCAATAATAAAAATTTACATAAGAAATTGTGTTTTTATTGAAAAATGATCACAGCAAAAAGTTCAACATAATGGCTGAATTGACCAAGAAAATTTTATTGCCGAGACTTCAATAATTAATGTTGTCAACAGCGGTTGGAGCCTTGGGTTCTAGAAAAAGTTCACTTAGATGAGTGTAATTATGAACAGAAATATATCTGCACTTTTTACATCTATGCCCTTTTTGTAGACAATGTATTTTGATTTTCCGACATGCATTGTTAATTGGTAGAGACCGAACGAGATCAAAAGAAGAGGATTTCCAATCTGAAGCTATGGCTGACCACTCCACCTGGGGTTGAAGCTTGCTATTTGGTTCAAGAAAGGATCCGGCGAGTGACACCAATTTTGAAGAAATTTTATTTATAATTAACTCTCAATCACAGCAGAATAAAAAGAACACGAATGATAATGATTCAAATGTAAGTTTAAACTGTAATATTATATATAGGTTACATTGTAATTATAAATTACTATTGTTGTTTCTCGCAAGTTCACAACATATTTCTCAAATGTGCTTTTAAAGCAAAAAATAGTATGGCTTTCCCATTTGTTGAAATACTAATATGGCGGTACCCATTCAACCTCTGTATATCACATCATCTCATTTTAGTACAAGCTGTTTTCTGTATGTAGCATATATAAAGGGCCGCCAACCAGGACACAGTTATTTCACGTTTTTGTGTAACGTTTGACTGGTCCCCGACAATAAATCCACGTTATCTGATTTCTCAATCATTCTGTCGTGTAAATGAACCTCTTTTTGGCAAAGGAAGGACAAACCTATTTAAAAGTATGTTTGAACAGATACATATATATACATGTATATAATTAAAATATATAATCAAAATTATAACTTAATTCATTGAACTGGCAGAAAAAAAAACATTATATACATCGTTTTAATAATTGATATTTTTCAACCAAAAAAATGTGTCTCGTGAAAAGTTGACAAAAAGGCACTGAGAAGCGTGTAAGCACTGTTTTACATTAAGATACTAATTATGTGAAAGCATTCATCCGAAACTGGTAGATAAACAGTAAAAGACATTTAGATCAAATGAAGTAAAAAAAATGAATAAAAATAAACAGTACATGTATCAAAGGTGAATGTCTTAAAAAATTAAGCGATGGTAATAATGGACGACCAATGCATGGCGTCCAAAGTCGATCACTTGACCGGAAAGAATGCATGGAGGGGCCCTAGATGATGACCGCTTTCAAAACACAACAAAAAGAGGAGATTTCTTATTTATCATATATATCCACTATATTAAGGACTATAAAATGTGGTATATTGAATATTTCCATATAATGCAATTTAAGAATTTTATATGGATTATTTAAATAAGCGAATGGGTCTACTGGTCATTTTGATGGAAATATTCCGATGGAAGTTCCTAAATATGAAGAATCGGCGAAATACTGGTAATTTTATAATCTAACGGAACATACAATTAAAATTGAAAAAAATCATCCAGTAAAACAAAACAACGAGAGATTAATTAAAGTGGACTGTAATGATGTGATTTCCAAGTACATGTTTATGTGAATGAAAGAAATATCATTTATACATAACCCACTGCCAACGTTTCTTAGTGAGAAATACGAATCAAACCTTTACACATTTAGCGTAGAGAAATGCGAGGCATATAGATGATTCATCACCCAACACTGACTTCCTTTGGCCTATGACAGTTCCTATGTTTTCCTAGGTAAATAGATACCCCATTAAAACACAATTTATGTATCTCCCACTGTTATCAGCGAGGATAAATAAAATACTGTTAAATTTCAGATGCCCTGAAATCTTTTCAATAAGCACGAAGGAAAATCCATGCGGCCAAGCTTTTCTTTTATAATTCAAGTGTCTGTCTCACGGTGTCCTGTTACAAACGCGGAGATGACGGAGATGACAGAGGTGCAGAAGAAACGGGTCACGAACTGAGGGCTGTTTAGGAAATAAACTTCTTTTTAAGTTTCTTTTATTGACAGATTTTTTTTTCTTTTCGTGCCAATGGATCTTCTTTCGAAGATTTTTGTTCATTTTTGTCTCCGAACAGTTTGTTGTTTGCTAGCTTGAGAAAAAATAATAAATTTACCTGTAAAACCTGTTTGATAAGGATATCTTGTTAAGGAAGAGGAGATACATGCCTAAAGTGTCATTAATTAGACAACCATGCAATTCTGTGTGCAATATAGCTGTTTATCATGCACGTGAAATCAAAGCCTCAAAATACTGACACATTGTAAAGCAAGGGGGATTTTTTTATGAATGGAGAAATCCTTCGATCTTTTCCTCCCCTAACCTCTTTGAAATTTACATTTCTCCAGAATTACTGACCAGTTTCAACCTTTGATCAAAAGTATTCTTGGTGAAAATAAGGGAGGGAGGGGGGTGTCAGGGAGGTCATAGCTCAAACTATTTAATAGGAATCTCATGAAAAATCAAAATCTTCATCCGAACGGCAAGGTTGCATATTATACTGTATAGGCTAATTGTATGCAAGTATCCTCGCTTTATCAATAAAAAAAATTGTAATTAGTTTTTCTAATTATAATCACATCAACTCGACCCCCTTCTCAATTTTTTATGGATGGAATCACAAGAAGGGGTTTCGGTCAGTCTTACTTCAAAATAGACAGGAATATATGTATTCCTTCAAAACTTACTCCAGAAAGCCTGTAAGTTTAGAAGTGATGATATAGTTTATATAAATACAATACTGTAATGTAGATGCAATATTGAAATGTAAATGCAGCTGTGGTTTAAATCAAGGGTCAGAGACGGAGTCAATGAATTCGTTAATGGAGAAGGTGCATAATTTTAATAATAATCTTAAGAATTCATCTTAACAATAATGTTAGAAATTTGTGTGAGAGAAAAATCTGCGATAATTAACACATTATAAGCGTGATTTGAATGGTGAAATCTAATAGCGGGTAAATGTAATATTACTCCTATAGAAGGGATATAAATTTTATCCTACACTAGTACTGTTGAAGGGTTTCTTGTAAAGTTCGTACGTACTTTCTCATGACTCACTAGGACAAGGAACTCAAGAGAGGTAACTTCAAATGCATGTATTATATCACAAAACTACATAGAATTTAGAATTATCTTCCTTATATCACCGTGAAAAATTCACTGTTCAAAAAAGAACTTTATTTTGGGCTTTACTTTTCAATTTTTAAGTTGTGTCATATTTCATTTCTCACGATATGTTTCGCGAATGATCAATCTAATTGTTTAATTGACCAGTGACACTTTTCGGACTCTTGATCTGTTGTTACAAAGAGACAGAGTGCTATGTCTCAAAAACTGTTAATCTTTTATAACAACATTGTGTAATTATCTTTTTATGTCCAAACATCAAAGCGTCATTGAGTTTATTTAATTACTCCATACCTGTGAATCTTTCACTCATTTTACTTAATGTCAACACCTGTCATATATTTACTCTTTATGTACATTCTTATAAATAGTCATGTATAATTTCAATCTTTAGTCTGGAATATACGAAGGCCAGTCTCGGCCACGTCCGACTCGTCAGGACTCTGAGTCCGGGGCCACTTCGGCCAAATCCGACTCGATCATTTATAATATGTCTGTTTGTTGATTCATGTAAACTGTTGCCATCGTTGAGACTCATCTAATAAATACGGAATCCTTCATCATTTGTTTTATCTCTGGAATTGCATATTGGTGGACCTTCGGGAATACGGCACACCTATACTTTGTTTTTACCTCACGGCCACACAGCGCCTCTACCTATACCTCGTACCCCCCTACGCCAACGTTCCCTCACCCCGTTCGTTCTGCAAACAACGGATGCTGTTCCAGACGAATTCCCAAGTACCGTCCAAATCTTCACGGTCACACTTATCTCAATCACTTCTGGACAATATCAAACACATTACTGTTCTTAAAAAAAAATATTTGTATAATATGGTCTAACCCCCCCGTGGAAAAACGATACTCTCTTCATGGCATTCGTTCAGTAGCATACCTCCACAGAACTATCTTTAGTCACATTGCTGGTCGATTTGGGATTAAACTACAAATATGTACAGGTATACCGTCTCGGAATCAAAAGCTTACACGTTTTTGTTATACATAAAATGTCTGAACGGGGAAATTTGAATTGATAGCAACATTTTAATTAATTCATGTTTGGACATTTGAAGGTTTGAGTGATATAATGTCTTTTTTTTTTAACACTGTTTCCCTAGGCCTCGCTCTTTATATTAAATTAATTTGTCACAGAGGACAAAAATACAATGTATATGGAAATGATGATTTATCTAAAAAATTACTGGAAGCTATTTAAAACTTTATTATTTGAACTGGGTGTGTAAAGAATGCTGTAAGCTGGCCTGTATCACAGATTAAAAAGTACTCGGCGAAGCCCCCCCCCCCCCCATGTTTTTTTTAATCAAACAAATTCGTTTGAAAATAAAAAGTAAGGTATGTAAAACAGTTTCATTATGTAATATAAAATATCATAACTTTAAAAGGAACACTTACAGGCATATTGAAATCAATTTTACAAAGGACACATGGCAGGTATATTCCGGAAATTTTTACGAGCAGATTCCTGAATTAGTTTTCGTGAATGACTTCCTACTTGATTTTGTTGTTCGAAGGGGCGTTCTGTGTTGAAATATTGAGCATTTTTTTCTGAATTCTAACAATGGTAAGCATCAGGAAAAAGTACATACATATTGCTTTGAAATTTTGTACTTTTCCTGCAACCGTGCTAAACCATTTCGTGGTCATTTGTAAATGCTTTATCAGTGTTTATAAAGAAATGAAAGTGGACATTTCTTGACAACGTTCATGCTACAAAATGAGTATTTTTAGTAAATGAAAACATTTTTTACCATTGGCTTATAGAGTTAAGTATACCTTCTAATCTTATTTGTAGAAATTCCGTTTTTGTGGAGACCTCGATTGTCCAGATTGGGTACTGGCTGAGATCAGTATTCTGTCAAAAATGGTAAGAAACCCAGAAAAAAAGAGATTGTGTAGGGATTTTGAAAAAAAAATCGCTGTTTTAAGTAAAGGGAAAGATTCAGTAGCCATTCAATTTACTTTTATATTTATTATTCTAGTAGTTCACAATATATGTATTTGACTAATTCTATTCACATTTTATATAGGAATTGGGTAGAATTTTTTATCCAACCCCAAATTTGAACCTTGGCCAATTTATCTTTTACCTATCTTTACTTATAGTGATTCTTGCTTTGTATTTAGTCAGTGAAAAATGACAATATATTTTTGTTGAAATGTACAAATTTTGGTTTTAAAAAACATGTTCATTAAATGTTGAATTAAACAAGGTTCATGTAGCATGTGTAGTCAAACTTTTACAGATATAAAGAATTTTTTCTCTTGCAGACTTCAATAAAGATGAAGTTATTGTGTGTACAAGTAATCAAAGACATGTTATCAGAAGGCATTGATGTAAGTTTGCTGTGATTTGAAGCAGTTTAAGACTATTGTATAAAAAAATATATTTTTCCGGTAATAAAATATTTATGTGATATGTAAGAGTGCTTGTGTTTGTTCCAGGGATGGGGTAATCGTAATCGAGTAATCGTAATCGATTGTAATGATTACTTTTTTTCAAGTAATCGACAGTAATCTGTAATCGAAGAGATTTTCGATTACTTGTAATCGTAATTTAATCGATTACAGCTAAAATTTTCAATGTAATTATAATTACTTTTTCGATTACTTTCGATTATTTTATGCATAAATGGATGTCATTTTGGAGAATTATTTCCTGTCATTCACACACAAATATCAAATATAAACAACCTAGTGTAATGTTTGGATTACCTAACTTTTATTATCATAAGTTTAATAATGTTCTCAATAAAATTTGCATTATAGACCTACTGGTCTAGTATTAAATAAATCAGAAGTGTATTTCAACTATTTATTAATAAAATATATACTTGTATGCATTTTACATTTGACACATAGTCCTCTTGCTGCATGTCCTTTTTCATATTTCAAATATTGAAAAACATTGTGGTTGTAATAGAAAATTATAAATAGCAAAAACAGATTTAAGTGCTGTATTAAATATAAATGATTTGGTAAATAAACTACATTGTACTCGAAAAAAAGAAGATGGAAATACTTATTCATATCTGAAAATGTTTAAACAACTTCAAACTTGTTGTTTTAGTAACTTTAAAATTTGCAAAATCATTCTCATGTTTTCATTCAAAATTGTAAGGTTTCTTTTGTATCAGTGAAGGGTTATAAGTGTTTGTAAGAGATGGAGTAAGTGTCACTGTGTTTGCTTATCTTGGCTAATTAATTGACTGAGACATCCCTGACTTGCAGATAATGAGGTGTAAACTGTGAACTACCTAGTTTTAACTTTTATTATTCATAGTTCTATTGAAGACAAACAATATTATTAAAACAAGTAATAGCTCTCAAAACACTTATTTCAATACAGAATGAAATTGTGCTATTAGTTTAATTACTTAAAGACACATTTGATTTACATGTTTATTACGAAGAGTTCTAATTTACTTATTTTTTTTAAAGAAGACACAAGAATGTTTAATGTGTACTGTCAACATACGGGCAGCCCAAATACTTCTAAGGAAGTTATTCACAATAAAATTATTTTATAATAAATAATTTTTGCAACAAGTCAAATCTGAATATGGAGGTTCAGATCCAAGGTTGAGAGGAATAATTAATTCCTTGACATATTTTATTGTAGAAATCATGTCTCCACCTTTCATGGTACAGAATCCCTCATTTGGGCATTTAGTGAGAATGTTAGCCAGAATAAAACCTTAAAAGAATCTGCACTGAAACTGCAGGAATACATTCAAACTTCAGTGGATATCATCATTACCATTTAAAATATTGCTTTGGTATTTGAAGGGATAAAAACTTGGGAGTAATGATTATTAATCGATTACATCTTCCAAAGTAATCGATTACAATCGATTACAGGACAAAAATGAGTGTAATCGATTAATAATCGATTACACAAAATTCCTCTAAGTAATCGATTATTAATCGATTACATTTTTCAGTAATCGTGCCCATCCCTGGTTTGTTCACCGTTTCATAACAGGAGTTTCTATTTGAAGAGACGTATATTGCTATATCTTTCATTTGAATTAATTTCTGAAAAGTTTGATTTCGTAGGTGTCATTTAAAACAGATTATTTTAGTGTTCAATAGGTCATCTGCATTCATGTCTCACAACATTTTTCTTTGATTTCAGTATGAAAAGGTCTATAAAATAACACAGGATGCCAAATTTGGTAAGTACATATTTTTAACAGCTTAGGTCAATTATCATGCAATCAGGAGTATATTTTCATCTTTTAATACTGAGGAAAAGACAGCAGTGCACAAACAGGGGACTTAACATTTTAAATTTTACTTAATATTGGAATCTTACTTGGAAGGACTTTGATTCTTTTAACAATAGTTTATAAACTAAAGACTGTTTTAAAAAGATAATGAAAAAAAAAATTAGTAGTAGTAGTAGTAAAACAAAAGATATGGTTGTAAAATTGATCTAGAGATCTCGGAATAAAACTTCGATCAAAATTTCATTGTTTTATCTGCATTTTTGGTGATAATACATTGTATATTCAAATACTGTCATTAATAGTCTAAAAATTTTACTGCTGATCTACTTGTGACCAACATAGCCAGTAAGAGGAGATTCAGTGTAAAGTATCTGTTACAGAGGTTGGAGACGTGAAGGCATCCATTGCTGCTTTGACATTTATTTTATCTAGTGCTGCTAAATATAGCTGTGATGGAGAAACATTATCTAACGAACTTCAACAGCTGGGGCTCCCCAAAGGTAAGTGGTTCTGATGAACTTCAATAGCTGGGGCTCCTCAAAGGTAAATGGTCAGATACCAAAGGTACGACATCAACTTTGGAACTAAGAACTCAAATTCAGGATCACAACCAAAAAAAATAAATCTATACCATAAATTATGTATGTAAACTTTTAATTGCCACTTAATGATTATAGCAGCTTGTGTATGATGTTTTGTGCTTAGGTTTGAGTATGGTAATTTATGCACACAGTTGGAAATTAACAGGATGGTTTTAATTTCACTTTGTTCTTTATTTATTATTTTTTCATGAAATTAAACCCACAGTGAAGAAATTTATCAGACCGCACAAGAAAGTATCTGTCAAAGGCACATTCCTTTAGTGTGAAATTAAAATCATCCCTATTGGTACCCTTGTAGGAAGTAAGAAATTGTGAAATTTTAACACCATAGAATTAAAACAACTTATGGTATATTTTCTTGCAGAAACACCTATCCTTAAATTGACTTGCAGTTTTGACATAATTTATATCAGTGACATGCAAGCATATTATATTCTACATAAACTACCAAAAGTACCGTATATACTCGCCTATAAGTCGTTTTTCTGGGAGTTAAACTTTGGTCCAAAACTCTTTATCCGACTTATACGCGAGTTTTAAAAAGATTGGTATTTTAGTAGGTCAAACCCTCTAATTTGAGCATAAAAAATACAACCAACTTAAAGGCGGACCAACTTATAGGCGAGTATATACGGTAGCATGGAAATCCTCTTTCATATATCAATGAGAATTTTTCCTCAATATAATACTTAATTTATGCAACCTAAAATTTTTATCTTTGATGAGAAATATGTGGTCAGTGTCTCAATAATTATTAAACAGGATTTTTTTCCTTATTTATAGAACATGCCACCTCCTTGTGTAAATCATACAGTGACAGCTCAGACAAACTTCAGACTCATCTCAGGAAAACAAGTCTTAGATGTAAGTATAACTGGCACTCTGTATCATGCTTTCTTTAACAGGTACTGATCAACATAGATATACTGTAAATTGGATATTTTTACAGGGTAAATTCTATGATTTTAACATAATAAAGCAACATGATAGGAGTTATTTTTGCAGAAGTCAAAAAAATTCACAAAATGTGTTGGTTTGCTGTTTATTACCCAGCTTGAGTGGTTCTCATTTATATGGTTAAATTTTGTGAAATTCAGCTCATCACAAAAATTTTTCCTCACTCATTTACAGCATATTTGTTGAACATTTAACAAGTTACTTGAAATCAGGTTCTTTCATCTCAGTTTCAGGTGTGTTGATGGTTTTTTTTTCTATTTAAATTAAGAAAATAAATTTCAAATAATACACTGTATATTTTATAATACAGTCAAATCTCATTATCTCAAACTCAATGGGAAAAAAAAAACTTTGAGATAACTGAGGATTCGAGATATCCAGGGTAAAATACTGAAAAATAAGGGGAAGGGACTTCCAAGTCACTTTAAGATATCCATGGTATTCAAGATATCATTGTTAAAGATACTAGAGTTCAACTGTAATTTATGAATCTCCTGAAAGCCTTTCGTCTGTTCCATTATCGGTTTTTGACATTATATTTTAGTATCTCACCTGGAGAAGACAGAGTGGAGAGTGGATTATATCCTCAGTTCCAGTGAACTTAAGGTCAGTAGATTCTGTGGACTGTGTAGACTTTTATTTCTGATATAGAGGTGAGAGGGTAGGATAGGGAGGGGCTCAAACAGAGGTTTTAGAGGTACCTAGTCAATCCTAGTCTGGAACTAGATGGGACCAAGATAAAACAGAGATATCCAAGGATTTGAGATGTCAAGGTTAAAAATACATAACGAAGAAGTGATTGGGATTCACTTTGAAATATCCCTTTTTTCTGAGATAGTGGTGTACATGAACGATCATATAAAATCTTTTTACAGGAAGTGAACAAACCATGTGTCCAAATGAGATTACAAGTACGGAACCCAGACACAGGGGCGACAACTCCTATCTCATTTACAGTAGATATGGATAAATTCCGTGTACTTCTAAGTGGTAAGAACTTTGTTTGACAAACCTTTTTGACATAACAATATTTTATTTATGTAAGAAGAAGTAATGTTAACTAAGAGAAGAAACAAATTGCTAACTTTTTATCACTGATGGGAATGTGGGGTCTATGTATGTACATAAACATGTCTGTAAATTCATGCAGTTTAGGAATATGTTTTATGAGATAGGAATAAAAAATTTTAAAAAATTAAAATATTTTTATAAGATGTGTGTTTTCTTTTCTCTCAACAGAACTTAAACAAGCAGAGACTGTCATGGCAAATCTAACGTGACATCATCCCAGGAATATATTAACTTTTTCATTAAGAAAAATTGTGCAATGACTATATTATTATGTGTATTTTATACTTAATATGAATAAAAATATATATATTTTTTCAAATTTCTAAATTGTTATTGAAAAGGGCCTTTAAAATATTATTTTGTAATGCAGGTTAACATGATTACTTTGAAAAATCTTTCCTCAAATAAGAGTCAAATTGTTAGAGTGTACCTATATGTGTAAATAATAACATATATATATATATATATATATATATATATATATATATATATATATATATATATATATATATATATATATATATATATATATATATATATTATTTACATGTGTACTGTTAAATATGATACATTTCCACTGATTAAATTTTACTTATCTGTGTATACACCGTTGACATTACCATTAATAGTACTGATAAATCAATCCTAGACTGCAGGCTAATAATTAAAACACATTTTTGCATATGAAATATTTCTAAAATATTTAAAATACATGTACATATGGTACATGTATCCCATAAGTTGTCAATTTTCTATTTTCTTTAAATTTTATTTTAAGTAAGAGATCATAGCTTTTCATTTCTACCGGTAATTAATTAAATATATCGAGCAGATTGTTTAAAAAAAAAATGATAGACAAAAGTAAAAATTCTTTTCAAATTGCAGATTGTCAATAAAATATGAATAACAGAATTGTAAAAAAAAAAAAAATCCCCTGTCTTTACTGGGTTTTCAGTTTACTGATGTATAATTTCCTTTTGTTTTTCCTTAATTAAACACCTTATCGCTGATGATTGAATTCGCACAAGGATTTTATTGTCTTTTATGTATATAGAATGATTTTTTGACATTAAATTATTCACCGTCTTCTTGAGTTTGCGACTTCATTAGGAGAACGAGTATAGCGAAAATATACACCGCAAATTATCCCCTCCGTAATTGCCAAAAACTAGGGACTGGAGGTACATGTACCTACATGCATATGTTCACATTCCACAAAATCTACCTCCTTTCCATATGTTTTGTAAAAATCTTATTTACACAAGAAAAATATTATTTTTTCAACAACTTTATATTGAAAAAATACCTGTAAAATGGAGAAGGCAAAGATTTTCTTAGGAAGAAAGAACATTTTTTTTCGAAACTATCTTTAATTTGCACTGGTATAACAATGGCATATTACACCGGTATCATATTAAACCAGTATCATATAACACCTGTATCATATTACATCGGTATCATTTCACTATTTTGATATCACACTGGAGACAATGTTCTAATAACACAGTAGAGAGCGATATATCCAACTTTACTATCATTGTACACTGAATACATTTTCACTTATTAATTACTCATTGGTATTTCATTCAAATTGTGTCAAGTAAACTTTAGTTACAAAACGTTAGCTGGTTCCTGGCAAGAGCTGTTAATCAGTGCCATGTTCAATTATCATGGACTTTTCTGAGATTTTATTTATGACTTTACAAATAAAGAAACCGCTTAATCAATATTTTCCTTTATAGTAAGCTCCTGGTCCGCCATAATAGGATGCTTTGACGCTATCTTCCTAGAGATAAATAAACCGGAGAAATAAAGCACAAATAAAACTGCTGTTTCTCCAAACAAAAGGTAACTGAACCACATAGGGGTAAATTTCTCCATTAAAACGCTAACAATCGGGGGGTTTACCATGAAGCCCACAGACGCCGCCACGAGAAAAAGAGAGGCTATTTTTCCCGTAACCTTTAAAAATTTCTGTTCCGTCCACATAAACACGGTGGGAAAAATTACTGACATAGAAAGTCCTATTAGAATAGAAAATATCCATACACCATATATGACGTCATATTGTGACGTAAGAAGAAAGCCAAGTAGAGACAACAACAGCGCACAGTTGTACGCGAAAATCATTTTTGCAGGGCTGAACCATCTAACGAGGAAAATTCCCAGAAAACGTCCAACAGCAAATGAAGACCAATAGCCGGAAGTGATGTAGCTTCCATCTGCATTTGACCAATGTAATTGTGACGTAACAAATGTTGTCAGAAAACCTGCAAAACAGTTCTCTACAGCTACGTATACAGCTATATAAACAACCATATTTATGAATCCCACAATTCGTAAGCGTCGATGAGATTTTTTTTTATTTTCCTCTTCATCTTCTTTTTTCTCCTTTTCGAGTGTCTTCTGCAGTGATATACAGCAAAAGACAATAAACGGAAGTGACGTCAAAAAACAAACCCCCGTAGTTATAGCGTATGGAACATAAATCAGCGATGTCTGCTCCTCAATCGACCTTCTACTTGAGGATAAATTACTTACATCGTACATGTTTTCAGTAATCTCTAATCCTGTACTTTTTATAGAAGTTGAGTTAAACGTGGTCCTATTCATCACGTGATTATTGTTGTCAAGTGACATAACATACGGGGCTGTTGCCAAGGGAGACAGAATTCCACCAACAGCAAAAGCGAAATGCAAAGCATTGAAGTAAGCATCACCTTCATTTCCCCACGTTACAACCATTCCTGCATTTCCGCCTGTTTAAAACAAAATAGAGTTATGTCGTTTTATATAAGTCAGGCCATATAAAAAAATATGTGTGGTTCCGGTTACCCGACCGTCCCTATTTTATACCCCCGACCCTAAACTTTTTTCCGGCAATTTTCATTTTTTTCCGGAATTTTCCTAGCTTTCCGTCATCGGCTCCAGTATTAGTTTTACTTTCAGCAATGGCGGCCTCCATGCAAAACATCGTTTCAACAATTAGTGCAAGTGTTCAATTGAAAGTGTTTAACCTAAAGCAAGTTAGCATAGCGCAGAAGCATTCCCTTTTTCCAGCACCATGTTTTTTTGCTTTGTTTTGTTTTTGCTTGCCAAAATTAAATAAATATACGTTCACAGACAGCTGGCCAGGTAATATGGCTTTGGGAGTTAGGGCATGAGAAAACATCATTTGATTGCATTGATTACGCAAGAAATAGCCCAATGTTTAAGATAGATTAACTTGTAAATTATGAAATTATTTAAATCAGGATCGTTTTATTTTAAACCAAAAGTAGAACAAAAAACAGTTGATGAGGAAAAGTGAAAAACAAGACAGCTGATTTTACCTGAATAAAGTCAACTCACATAGTACCAATATATATCTGAGAAATGAGCTTGGAAGTATAAAGTCTTCATTGAGGCAAAAAATTTTCATTGTAAGAATTTAACATTTTCACAATATTAAATATATTTCCTCTGACAGCTCTTAGCAGTACTCTATGCCCGTTTTCTAGTTTATCATTCAAAATTTATTATTAAATAAAATAAAAATTACTCTGGATAAAAGTCATTAATTTCCTTTATAAACATGGATTTAAATAAAGGATGTTCACCTCAAACTTTTTTTTTTTTACAAAAAAGAAATTAATAAGATTATTAGTGTGTTTATTATTTTTGATTTAAAATATTTGTTTCATATTCATAACTAGGGTGTCCTTACCAATGTTGACTTGTATATTATCATGCCACATCTAAACGCCACTTGCAAAGTAGTGATAGGCATTATTTACAAAAATTTAGAAAAATAATTTTGTAAAAAAAAAAAAAAAATCCCTACCTACCTACCCTAATTTTTTTTGGAGGTGTAACCGGAACCACACATATTTTTTTGTTTGGCCTCAGCATGAATTCCTGTAACAGATAATGGTTCATGCATACTGGATAATACTGCACCCCTGGATGTGTTCATTAATTCTCACATTTTTTAGCATCAATATATTTTACAGAAATTAATAATCTTGATGTCGGTGTTCAAGTTTGCTCTCGTACTTTAATTTTTATTTCCATAGAAATTTCGTTATAAATTTTCTAGTCCAGTTAGCATTGTAAAGAATTTGCTCTGCTAATGATAGTAGTCATATATATTTTAAGCTTTAAAAGAAATCTACATTTTAATTGTAAGGTAAAACGTCTCAGCATACATTGCGCTGCAAAATATTTTTTTAAGCCCTTCTGACAATTTTTTGGGGGGATTTTTCTGGGAATCATAGACTGTTAGATATTATTTTCATTGAGAAAAAAGGGTCAATCTCTCAATAAAAGTACAGTTTCTTCTTTCATACTCTTATTTAGTCTCAATAAGGAGTTGGTATACATGTAGAAGATTGAAACTTTAGTGCATGTTTGATACTATAGTAATCCATGCGTACTTACATGTGTCCAAACCGCCACCAAAAGCCCCCTTAACAATATGAATAATGACCATGACCTCATACAGCCCACACCACGGTATAATAGCTATGATGACGCCATATCCGGCGGTGGCAATGAACATCAACAGGTTTCTATCTAAGACTCGTCTATCAAATAGAAAGCCTGTTAACAATGAGCCAAGGAGGTATCCAACGGTACCCATGGTAAAGAATAGAGATCCTTCCTCGAGCGTTGCGTGGGCAATAAGTCTAAGATCTGGAAACGTAGGTCCAAACTGGCCCTCCACCCATCCCTGAAAGACAATAGTGAAAGGAAGGATTATAATGAATTTCTTGGGTGTTGACCGTGTTGACGTAAATTTTGTTATACTTATGTGCTGTAAATTTTATTATACATGTATTATACTTTCATGTAAATTAGTTGAATCTGGTTCGTCGAGAAATATTGTTAAAAAACACTATTACCCGCTGAATGATGAAGCCACGTCCTCCAGCGTAGCAACAGTCAACCTTGCTTGACGACGGGTGATATTCCAAAAAATAGTGACTGCGCAGAATTTATGCGCGCAAGGTTCACTGTTATATGCATTTATATAAAACATTCAGTATGATAAATAAATATAGCATGTAGTTAAATGTAACATTGAAAATTTTTCACCCCAGGCCTTGAAAAACATTGTCAACTTCGGCCGCGCCTCGGTTGACAACGGTTTTCTTCGGGTGAAAATTTTCAATGTTACACTCAACTACATGCAATATTTATACAATACTATTCATATACAATGCAGTATGAAAGTATGAAAACTTGAGCGTGAATATTTTAAGATGAGAAGTTTGTATAATTTCATTTGGGTTCTTGGATACCACGAATGACAAAATCACACAGAGTACTAGTATATACAAGTGTATTTGTAAAGTCAAAAAAGAAAATTGATCCTTTGTAAAGGCTAGTCTTACCAGGGTCAGAAAGGAAGCAATATATGCTATAGTCATCATGTATTTCTTTCTAAAGAGTTGATCTTTCTTCAATTTATTCCAAAGTGATCCACCATCCTTGTTGGTATTTACATTTTCCTCTCCCGTTAATAACCTGTCCGTTGTAGTTAACCCTTGCGCAGATGAATCATCCTGGTCTCCTTCATTACAAGTGGAACCATTTATGATGGCATTCTCTTTCAGTAGCTTGTCGTCTGTTTCTGCGTTCAGCGTGTTCTTAGAGGCGGCCATCGTTAATGTGCTAACGGAAAAGGTGAATATAAAACAGTAATCAATCTCAAAAAAAGGAAAAAAAACCTACAAAACAAAAAAAAAACCCTACAAATAAAAAAGCCTACATGTACAAACAAAAAAAACCTACATGTACAAACAAAAAAACCCTACAAACAAAAAAAACCTACATGTACAAACAAAAAAACTACAAACAAAAAAAACCTACATGTACAAAAAAAAAAAACTACAAACAAAAAAACAAACAAAAAAAACCTACAAACAATACAAATCTCTGAACAGAGCACGAAACACGGACCCCAGAAATTCCAGAGGTGAGATCTGGAATAAGCATACCCTATCGACCAGTTTAAAAATAGACCATCTGTTAGATGATCAAGTTATCAGTCAATCTGAAATATGATATATTAGTTCAAGTCGAAACAGTGCGATAGTACATTTATATTAAATAATTTTGGAAAAGAATATTTTAGTTTCTTTTTTGGAGTGGTTTGCATTAGTTTTTATATAGCTACCTCTAGAAGAGAAACTTAAGTGGGCTTCCCCATTTCGTTCTGAAGCACTCTCTAAGATCTGGTTATCAGGCATTTATCACATTTTCTCCAATTTAGTTTACTGCCATATGTTTCATTCTCGTAAAGTAATTTTTATGTCCTCTAACACCTATTACATGTATGACGTCAAATTGTGCTGTGTAATTTTGGTTTGTCGATCAGTATTTCGTGCAGCAATAATGTACACCAGTAGATATGAAGAACTTTAGTGAAGGGAAAAAGTTTCCGTAGAGTGTGCGTATTACTTAACGAGTTTTCTCAAAATCTCGTTCCTTAATATTAATTTTTTAAATTTTCAAGGCAAGCCTCCTTTCTATATTCAGGATCTCGAGTTGGAAAAAAACTGGTACTAGTAACTTATACAAGTTTAATACATATGGAACCTACATGTACTTTTATGAAATTCTTTCATTCATGAATAAAAGTTGTTGTTTTTTTTTTCGAATTAGGAATGATATGAATTCGAACATAAACAGGATTGTTTTGTAATGTAAAACAATATCATCATGTCAAAATACATTTATTCAGATTAAACTGATTATTCAACACATATTATTTTCATGCATCTTTTACATAGTTACAGTCTACTCTAGTGTGAATATTACAGAATCAAGAGTTAAGTTCTCTGTATTTAGACAAGAACCTTTTACTTGAATACCATATCAAAATCATACATGTAAGAGGATCCAAGAAGTGGCCGATTTTCTGTTAATCGGGGACTAAAAGTAGTACACAGCACCCTGAAATTAGTTTTACTCACATATTCTCAAACACACCAATTTAAAACAAGAGGCCCATGGGCCACATCGCTCACCTGAGCACATTGGCTAGGGCAAAAAGCAAAAATCAGTTCAGTATTGAAAAGGGGGACTTGAATTTAAACTACCTGATTATGCTTCCCTATCAATATAACAAATTACTTTGCTGTTCTCGAGCAGATTTTTTCCTATATATTCATTTGTAAAAATTTGATCCCCCATTGTCGCCCATCCTACCCCCGGGGCGGGGCCCTCATTTGAACAATTTGTTTCTACACTACCTGAGGATGCCTCTATATCAATATGACTAATCATGGCTCTTCTGAAATTGAAAAAAAGATTTTTTCCTATATATTTATATGTAAAATTTTGATCCCCCATTGTGGCCCCACCCTATCCCCGGGGGTCATGACTTGAAGAAATTTGAATCTGCACTGCCCAAGGATGCTCCCATTAAAATATGACCAATCATGACATTGCTGTTCTTGAGAAGAAGAGTTTTAAAGAATTTTCCTATGTACTCCTATGCTAAACTTTGATCACCCGTTCTGGTTCCACCCTACCCCCGGGAGTCATTATTTGAACAAACTTGAATCTACACTACGTGAGGATGCTTCCATATAAATATGACCAATCATGGCTTTGTCGTACTTAAGAAGAAGATTTTCAAAGATATTTTCCTATATATTTCTATGTAAAACTTTGATCCCATATTGTGGCCCCACCCAACACCCGGGGGTCATGATTTGAACAAACTTGAATCTACACTATCTGAGAATGTTTCCACATAATTTTCATCTTTCCTGGCCCAGTGGTTCTTGAGAAGAAGATTTTTTAAAGATGCCATTATTTTTTCACTAATTCCTAATTATCTCCCCTTGAAAGAGGGTGTGGCCCTTCATTTGAACAAACTTGAATCCCCTTTACCCAAGGATATTTTGTGGCAAGTTGGTTAAAAATGGCCCAGTGGTTCTTGAGAAGAAGTCGAAAATGTGAAAAGTTTACAGACAGACAGACGGACGCCGGACAAAATGTGATCTGAAAAGCTCACTTGAGCCTTCGGCTCAGGTGAGCTAAAAACTCTAATTTGCCAATATTAAGTTATGTTCTTATATTCTTAACAAAATTATAAACTGTGATATTCATTTGCTATATTGTATATTCTGCAAAAAATTGGAGACATCTGATTATGATATCTTGAAATATGTTTATTTCAGCTAGGTTTTAGTTGAGTGTTTAATATCAATAAAATGTAGCGTATGTTTTTTTTTATTTTTTTTTATTTTTTTTTTATTTTTTTTTTTTTTTTTTTTTTTGCTATTAGTCTAGAGAACCTGGTATTTGGAAACATGTATTCAAAGTATTCAATCTTAATGCAATTTGAAGGTCAAAGTCATCAAATCTTGAAGTTAAAGGTCAAATATGTCGAATACATTCAACAATTCTTTTTTTTTTATATTGAATTTTCTAAAAGCTCCAAAATGTCTGACACCCTCTGATAAATTTTATTCATTTTGAAATATTTCAATAGACGAATTCCACATTCTTAAGAGTTATCTCCCGTTGTCGGCGTAACGCTCATTTTTCTCACTTTGTCCCTTGTAACTTACCTATAAATATTTTCAACCTTCAAATGCTATCTGATTCGTTCCTGTATTGCCATAGTATGGGGCAACATAAAAAACATAATGAACATATTCAAGCAGATTTAATTTATAAAACATTTCCCCGTAAAGTTGGTAATGTTATAAAGGGAAAACAGTGTCTTACGCCGGTTGACCCCAGATTGACCCCGCAAAGGGAAATAACTTTTGTAAATGTGAAAGTCGTCTATTGCTGTATCATGTCAATTCTTTTCTTAAATTTTCCTAAAATCGAATCTTCCTTTTTCTCTTAAGAGATCTTAAAGTGTAGCATGTTTACGCATGGATTTGCCATTCACAAAGCTATTTATATATAAATTTATATCTAAATATTTAAAGTTTACATTTTCTAAAACAAAATATCAAAAAATAAAATCAAACCAATCGAATATGAGAGAAATATTTGTACTATTTGTACATTGTGACTCTAAAGAGAAAAAAATAACTTTTTATTCAATAATTTCCACATAAAGCGTCCCCGTTATAATTGATTGCATGGACTTCCATATATGATACAAGTCACGTTACAACCGATTTACAGATACATGTATTTAACACAAATAAGCTTACCTCAAAAGCAAAAGGGGCGTTCCTATTGAGTAAGTGTGGTATTATGAATACAATCACACATTTTCTATCATACTTGAATATATATTGCATGTGTCTATGCAATCCCATAGTTAATAACTGAGTTATTGTTCCTACATCCTCCAATTTTCTTTTTCGTGTATGGCAGCGTATTCGTGTCATTTTGAACCAAAAATGATAGAAAAATCCAGGCACATGCATAATCAAATTCGTGTTTTATACATCGGTTTATACATTACGTAAATGAATTCATTAATAGACAATTTTTTTCCAAAATAGTTTTGAGCAAGGTGGAATATACTAGTATTTAATCATATACTATTAGTAGACGGATCAACTTACGAGTTCAATCAAATATGACTTAATTGTGTGAGCACGTTTTTATTTTTATGCCCCCGGATCGAAAGATCCCGGGGGGTATATTGTTTTTGTCCTGTCTGTCTGTTTGTCTGTTTATCTGTTTGTCTGTTTGTTTGTCTGTTTGTCTGTTTGTCTGTTTGTCTGTCTGTCTGTTGTCAACTTTAACCTTGCCCATAACTTTTTGATTGGTTGGAGATTTGATTTTCATATTTCACATGTGTATTCCTTGTGACAAGACCTTTCTTTGGGTACCATCATATTTGACCTTTTGACCTTGACCTTGGAGTTTGACCCACTTTTGCAAAATTTTATGAGACTTAACCTTGGCCATAACTTCTGAACAGTTGGAGCTTGGGGTTTCAAACTTCACATGTGTATTCCTTGTGACAAGGCCTTCTTTTGGATACCAACAACTTTGACCTTTTGACCTTGACCTTGGACTTTGACCTACTTTTGAAAAACTTTAACCTTGGCCATAACTTTTGAACAGTTGGTGCTTAGGGTTTCAAACTTCACATGTGTATTCCTTGTGACAAGACGTTCCTCTGGATATCAATCACTTTGACCCTTTTGACCTTGACCTAGGAGTTTGACCTACTTTTGAAAAACTTTAACCTTGGCCATAACTTTTGAATGGTTGGAGCTAGGGCTTTCATACCATATGTAATCCTTGTGACAAGATCTTCCTTTGAATACCAACGACTTTGACCTTTTGACCTTGACCTAGGAGTTTGACCTACTTTTGAAAAACTTTAACCTTGGCCATAACTTTTGAATGGTTGATGCTAGGGCTTTCATACTTCACATATGTAATCCTCATGACAAGACCTTCCTTTGGATACCAAACACTTTGATCCTTTGACCTTGACCTTGGAGTTTGACCTACTTTTGAAAAACTTTAACCTTGGCCATAACTTTTGAATGGTTGGAGCTAGGGCTTTCATACTTCACATATGTAATCCTTGTGACAAGATCTTCCTTTGGATACCAACCACTTTGACCTTGACCTTGACGTTTGACTTTTATTTAAAAAACTTTAACCTTCACCATAACTTTTGAACAGTTGTATCTAGGTCTTTCAAATTTCACAGGTTTTCCTCGAGACAAGATCTTTCTTTGGGTATCAACATTTTTTTATCTTTTGGCCTGGATTTTGACTTGCATTTGAGAAACTTTAACCTTCGACATAAGCTGCCATACGGGGGCATCAGTGTTTCACAAACACATCTTGTTTTATTTGTATTTTTATGAACAACTTACTTCATCTCTCATAGCAATAATTATCTTTAAACAAGACACTTCTTTTTAAATTTATTAAATGACTTTTTCTACAATCCTTGTGGAATCCACAAACCAAAATAGACTATTGTTTGTTGATAAGTACCTGTTCTGGACACGGAATAACGCTTTTTAGACGATTAGTACCTGCTTTGGACATGGTATACGGTTGTACATCTATGTATGCTGACAAGTGCCTATTGTGAATACGTTAAAGCGATGTATGCCGACAGATACCTGTTGTGAATACGAAAGAGCGATGCATGCCGACACATTCCTGTTGTGAACAAGCGTAGTAAGCCGAGTACCTGTTCTGGACGGTAAATTATTGTCTCCACTGAGAAACCATATAACTATTACTAACTCACGTAGAAACAAATGAGTATTCCATATTTACAAAATATTATTGCCAAAATATGACTGCCTTATTACACTTGTGCATATAGCTAACACGAAATTAATCTGTCCCTAACAAAATCTTAATTAGTGAAATTATGAAAACGTATTTTTCTTTGCTTTGGTAAAAGAATTTGTAAATTAATAGAACTAATTGATGACTGTTCAAACAAATATTATCCTCAGCCCAGCATTTTGTCGTTTAAAACTACGAGCTCCTTATCCGCTAAACTTGGAAGTTTCGATACTATTCTCCTAGAGATCAGCAATCCTGAGAAATAAAGAACAAGCAAAAGTATTGTTTCGCTAAACAACAGGTAGCTAAACCACATGAGGGTGTAAGTCTCCATCAAAGTACTCATAATTGGGGGGTTCACCATGAAACCTACAGATGCCGCCACGAGAAAAAAGGAGGCTACTCTCCCCGTAACCTTTAGAAATTTCTGCTCTGTCCACATAAAAACGGTGGGGAAAATGACTGATAAAGAAAATCCTGTAAGTGAAGTAAATATCCATACGCCATATATGACGTCATGTTGTGACGTAAGAAGAAAGCCAAGTAGAGATAACAATAGGGCACAGTTGTATGTAAAGATCATTTTCGCGGGGCTGAACCATCTAACGAGGAAAATTCCCAGTAAACGTCCAGCAGCAAATGATGCCCAGTAGATGGAAGTGACGTAGCTTCCATCTGCATTTGACCAATGTAATTGTGACGTAACAAATGTTGTTAGGAAACCTGCAAAACTATCCTCCACAGCCACGTATACTGTCATAAAGAAAACCATATTGATGAATCCGAATACTCTAAGCCGTCGGTCAGATTTTCTGTCATTTCCCACTTCCTGTTTTGTTGTATCTTTATCGAGTGTTTTCTCAAGGGATATACAGAAAAATACAATAAATGGAATGGATGTCAGAAGACAAAGTCCTGTGGTTATAGTGTATGGAATATATATCAACGATGCCTGATAGTCCGTAGATCTTTGAGCTGAGGAATTATTGGTCGTGTTGTACCTGTTAGTGACCTCAAATATAACATTTGTAGAGTTTTTAGAGTTTGAGAACATTTGGGGATCATTTTCATCAGGTGACAGAACATACGGTGCTGCTGCCAAGGGGGATAGAATTCCACCAACAGCAAATGCGAAATGTAAAGCACTGAAGTAGGCATCACCCTCGTTACCCCACGTCTTAACAAGTCCCGCGTTTCCACCTATGTAGAATAAAACAAAGTGTTATGTAGTTTTAAAAGAACTTGAAACAGCATGACAAACAGAGACATCATCTTTCTCCTGCAAGAAGTTTAAATACAAACTACTTAAATAGGTATTCAATTTACTAGGAAATAAAATTTTATTTACTTAGTATAGTCCTTATTCAATAGTAAAATATCTTTTCAAAAAAATGCTTTTGAAACTTTCTACCATGGAATTTCCTAAAAAATAGATTTTCTTTATTTTAATCGTAAATTAATATTTCTCACTATAGATACTTTTCTTCTTTCGATAGGTCTGAATTTTGCTTCACAATTATATTTCAAATGTTCAAAATAAAATTCTAACTATCCTCAAGAAGCAGTTTCTTATTGCATTCTTATTGCATATATGGTGAATCGTATATTTACATGTGTCCAATCCTCCTCCAAAAGCACCTTTGAAAATGTGTATAATGACCATGACCTCATACACTCCACACCACGGTATGACTGCAACGATGACGCCATATCCGGTGGTGGCAATGAACATCAACAGGTTTCTATCTAAAACTCGTTTGTCAAATAGAAAGCCTGTTAACAATGAGCCAAGGAGGTATCCAACGGTACCCATGGTAAAGAATAGAGATCCTTTCTCGAGCGTTGTCTTGGCGACAAGTCTAAGGTCTGGAAAGGTAGGTCCCATCTGACCTTCCACCCAACCCTGTCAATTATTGGGGGAAAATGTTTTAATTAACGCAAAGACAGTGACATAATTGATTAGAGGCTGGAAACAAACAATTTCTTACTGTTCAAGTATTTCATCATATTTTTTTTCTTAGTTCTTCAAAATATTTTTTTGCCATGCATGCGTAATGCATTTTTAGGAAATTGCTGCATAATTTCAAGTTATTGGGAAAAACTGTAAATTTCATGACGGCGTAAATTTACATTTATCGTTCAAATAAAGGAATAAAATACATCCTTCGTCGAAGTAATATACTCACAAGTGCCAGAAAGGAAGCAATATACGCCACTGTCAGCATGTATTTCTTTCTAAAAAATTGGTCTTTCTTCAGTTTATTCCAGAGTTTTCCGCCATATTTCTGTGGATTTGATTTTTCTCCTTCCTCTTGTGTCCTCTCCTGGTAATTGAAGTCGTGGTCTGGGTGGTTTTCCTGTAGTCCTTTTTTCTCATAGGAGCAATTCATTGTGATATTTTTTATGAAGCCACGTTTGTCATTAGGTTCAGCATATTTAAAGGAAGGCAGCCATTTTGACTTTTTATTGTACTATTTTCTTACTAAAATTTATGTAAGCAAATCCTGTAAGCAAATGGCTTACAATTAATCTGAAACATGAAAAATTATATCGTTTATTTATCTACTACATGCAAGGTATAAACATTTTTCAACGATTTAAACGTATATTAAATGTTGTACTTTTCTCACTTCTTTGCATAATGTTATAAAAGTAAAGCAACTGGGGTTTTTTTTATGAAAAATTGAAGATTTGAATGGTTTGCATTATTCTAATTCTATTCGATATTTATATAACAATCTTTTTTTCATTGGATAGGAACACACAACTTACAAAATAGAAGAAAATAGGTATCCAATGCTTTTATATAGTAATGAACATAAAAGAAAAATTCATCCGGTATATGTGTTATTTTTATTTTATAAATAATTTTATTTTATAAATACCTGTCTGTTACTCCATGTTAAACCTGTAGGAGAACATATCAACCTTGATCTTGATCTCTCTATATATCAGAACTCGAACAAATTGTACTGGAAACACACTTCTCCCAGTTACATCACATAGGACGATCAATAGATATTCAATATGTAAATACAAACATATGTTCCGGTGGATTAAAATGTCTGCTTTTCTTATACTACAAATATAGTTTCATGCTTTTTTCTACACATCGCAGTAATTGAAATTTTGTTATAAATTTACTGGTAGAATATACGACTGTCTAAATTGAATTCAAGAGTACTCAATGGCTACCCCCCACCCCAAAACACACACACATACAGAGAGAGAGAGAGAGAGAGAGAGAGAGAGAGAGAGAGAGAGAGAGAGAGAGAAGAATATATTAAATAATTTGTGTCAGTTATCCTTAAAACAATTTTCAGGAAATTTCCTTATATAATCAACCTTATTTTATTTTTTCGGCCCTTAACTATACTTTTACAATTATATTAAAATTCTATGCAAATTCATGCAAAAATGAAATCTCCCCAAAATTAAGGATATTTATTTTACTCTAATTCTATCATGTAAAAAATGAATATAACCTGAAAACAACTAAAACAGGTATGATCAAATTCCTACTTTTCCGAAATTGGGACATTCTATAAACTTATTTGCCAGTAAACTATTCATATATAGTTAGAGGATAGTCACAATATCCTTGTAATTTTATTCAGGGAAAATTTGATTTGTCTGAATCGATTGAAAAAAAAGTATCTTTCAGTTTCATAGTTTTTAAACGTTTAAGTCTGCTTTTACAAGATCTGCAACAGCTAAACATCCAGTTCTTTCCATGATGTTTTTAATGCTTTTCATAATATTTTTCTGATGTATTCTAAGATACAGTTGGTTTTAAATATACGAGTTTTTTTTAAAGTTGAATACAAGAACATTGATTACTCTCATTTATCCACTGAACAAAACGAATCGTGAACAGGATAAAACAAAACGCCGGTGTTAGGATTATTAATAAATAATTAGTGATATCTACTTCGCATTTAAAACAAAACAAACTTTCATAGCATTTTTGCCAAAGATGTTTAATAATATGTAATAAAACGTGAATAGAAAATTAGCGTTCGAGTTCTTAAAGACAATAACATTTGAATACTTTTTGATCCACCTATGTTTCTTTGAGCTGTTTGTGACCTGGCCTGTGTTCTAGATCTTGATGTGGAAGGCAAGATAAAGGTTAAATTCTTCCAAAGAAAAGGATTATGTTTAATCTTCACTCATAGAAATACAGGTAAATCCAAGTATTTTCGATAATGGGATCCATTTTGATGTTTTTGAAATTCTAATTTGTAACACGAATCATACATATTACGTTTGTTGTTGTTTTTGTGTTTGCAGATACTTTCTAAGACTGTTATATCTAATTATCTTTTTTCAAATTTTCATAAATATAGCCGGAAACAAAGATTTCTTTTGATGACATTAACCATTACCAATATTGATTGATTAAGCAAATTTATTATATATTTGTTATATAACACATGATTTTTGCATCCCTGATATGAACACAGGCACGCGCCCTGTATTACACACCCTGTATCAGCACCCTTTATTTCACCCTTTATCACACCCTTTATTACACCTTTCCGGAACATCTCTGTATTTTTCATTTGGAATATCTCGTCTCTTTTTCTATTCGTTAATGAAGTTTATTTAAATTGTAATTTTACTTCATCAGATATCTTATGCTATTCAAAATAATTATTTGTTTAATTTATAATTATTTCATTTCTTATCGCTGAATGCATTGCCTTTGGGAAAAAAATGAGAAACGGAAATTCAGCAAAAACAGAACACATTCGATTATTTAAAAAATGGTAATTAATTTACAAGTTTGTATAAGATTTTTAGACACTATATTTTCAAATATATAATAAAAACAACAATACATGACAAAATCTGTATCACACCCCATATCAACCCTCGACCAATATCAGCCCTCTGGCCTTCGGCCCTCGGGCTGATATTGGAGTCTCGGGTTGATATGGGGTGTGATACAGATTTTGCCATGTATTATTCTCTATATATATCAACTTTTGTAAACCATATAACAAAGAAGAGTATTTTAGAAATGTTTCAAAATGAGGTAAGTTTAATGGCCTGCTTTTTTTTAATGGATTTTGAGTCCAATGAGCTTTTTTTTTTCTAATTTCAGACTGAATCCTGCTTGAAATTCATGGACGCAGATTGCAGAAATGAGAATAACATCAGTAAAATTTCTGCCACATTGAGACCATATAATCACAGAAGCCGACTACTACCAATTTAACAGAAATGAATAATTCTGGCGTAGATGAACATGGTCAGGTTGATAAGTTAGTGCAGGTGTTAAAAACCGGGGACGTGCTGAATGGGACAGAAGAAAATTCACATGCTAGGAGAGATGGCGGGAACTTTTGGTTTAAATTGAAGAAAGACCAACACTTTCGAAGTAAATACATACTGACACTAGCATACATCGCCTCCTTTCTTACTCTAGTAAGTCTTGACGTGCACTAATGATTTATATTTTATTTTATGAAAATGATATTCGACTCAATATCTAAAATATCTTTAAAAGCACTTTGTGTTTTCATGAAATTCTTTTCTGAATAAGAATAAATTAATTGTTTCTTTATTCCTGTGTAACAACTTTGCAGAAATAAGACTATATGGTAATGGTGATGTATCGTTAACCAGTCCATTCCTCTATTGTAATTATTTTGAAGGGATGGGCGGAAGGACAATTCGGACCTACGTTTCCAGATCTGCTACATATCACCAATACAACTCTCGAGAAAGGTTCCCTATTCTTTACGATGAATACTGTAGGTTACCTGTTGGGATCCTTGCTGATGGGTTTTCTGTTTGACAGGCGTCTCTTAGATAGAAACCTTCTGATGTTTCTGATCATCGCCGGATATGGCGTCATCATTGCTGTCATACCGTGGTGTGAAATGTATGAGGTCATGGTCACTGTTTTTATTGTTAAAGGGTCCTTTGCTGGCGGCCTGGATACGTGTAATTCAGTTTAATGTATCATACAGAATTTCATAAGTAACATTTACTCCTCAATTAATCCCTGTAGCAGTCCCTGTAACAAAAATATTTTAATCTCATAAGATTCACGCTTAATTTTTGTACTTTTATTTTTCCAATTAGGCACAAGATACAAATACTTATATCTATTTTACGTACCGGTACTCTTGTCTTCACAGCAAGTTCAGATACAATATTTATCATAAATATTATTATCTTAATTTACAGAGAAAGGGGATGTAAGATGGAATAAACATTTTGAAGTATAGTTTATGAATGATTTTCAAGAATAATTGCGTGGATGGGACATATGAAATTAAAAAAAACAACTGATATGCTACTCAAACATTATGGTTTGGGGTATCATTTGTTTTTAAATATTAACGGAAATGATGTCATTTTATTTGCAAAATTATCTAGGACATAACCAAAATCTATAACATACATTTTAAACTGCATAATTTATCTTTTCTAAATAGGCGGTAACGCTGGACTGGTAACTACTTGGGGTAACGATGGCAACACCTACCTCAGTGCTTTACATTTTGCATTTGCTGTTGGTGGAATTCTTTCTCCCTTGGTAACTGCACCTTACGTCATGTCGCTTAGTAATAATATATCTGCACTAAATTTCACGAACACTGCCAATTCTTCAGACATTGGAAATTCTAACGGAAGTACTTACCATATAACTAACCATATAACTACTTACCATATAACTAAACTGATTCCAACTGAGAAGTCCTTTGAAGATCGCTCATCACTGATTTATATTCCATATACAGTAACTGCGGGACTCTGTGTTATGACATCAATTCCGTTTATTATTTTTTGTGGTATTTCTCTTCAGAAAAGACTCGACAGGAAAACCTCGAAGGAAGACGGAAAGAATAAAACGAAATTAGATCGACGTCTACGAATCACGGGACTCATAAATATTCTTATCTATATAGCAGTGTATGTAGCTGTAGATAAATCATATTCAAGCTTCTTGACAACATTTATTACGTCACAGTTGAACTGGACAAATGCTAATGGAAGCTATCTCACATCCGGATACTGGGCTTCATTTGCTGTTGGGCGCTTCATTGGAATTTTCCTAGTCCAATGCGTTAGCCCGGCAAAAATGCTATTTACGTTCAATTTTATGCTACTGATATCTCTGCTTGGATTTCTACTCACGTCACTATATGATGTCATATATTTTGTGTGGCTATTTACTCTACTTATAGGTTTTTCTTTGTCAGTCACTTTCCCCGTGGTCGTAATGTGGACAGAACAAAATTTTCTTCGGGTCAATGGAAAAGTAGCATCCATGTTTCTAGTGGCAGCATCCATTGGGTTCATTGTAAACCCTCCATTTCTAGGGGCTTTAATGGAGACTTATACTTCAATGTGGTTTAGTTATTTGTTATTTGGGGAAGCGGTTTGCCTATATATCCTTTACTTCAGCGGTGTTTACATCTCAAGAAAGATTGCGTCAAGACATACCATCATAGCAGACCAAGAACTATCCGTTCTATCGGGAACGTAATGCAGCTCTTTCATTGTTTCTGGCAATTTAAAAACAGTCCGTTTGGGTAGAGTGTGTTATGTCGGCAAAGGAAACCAAGTTACACACCGCAGTCCGTACATACAACTTTACCAAAGTTTTATTTGGTATCATTTTATTACCATTCGATGATTTGCCGAAAGACAGATCTTTGCAAATTAAGCAATTTTTACCTAAATCAAAAACGTTTACCATAAGTTATTAAACTACAGATCGTTGGTTTGAAAGCCTTACGATCGTCGATATATTTGCTTTGACAGGACTTGAGTTTGTCGACAAGTGAAATCCATGCATAGACTGAGGACGTACATTGTTATTATCTGTTCAAACGCTCTTCATTTTGTTCTTTCTTCTCTGTCTAAAATTCGATCTTCTCCGTCAGTAGTTTTTTTCCAAAAATAACATGATGCAGCTTTACCGAAGGTTCTCTTGTTTTTGTTTTTTAAATATTTCTTATCTGTTTTTCAGCAAAAAAAAAATATGTATGTTATAAAATATCTTAGAAAAAATGTATTTTTATCCATAAAGCGGTCATGTTCATCTCCGCATAGAGATGTTTGCAAAAGATTGCCAGTTCTAGAACGTTAAACGTGACAACCTTTATAAATGAAACATAAATTGATCAATAAAATTCAATCGATATGTACATCAATTCACAAAAGTAAACTATAATGAGGTACTGTATTGAAATATGTATTGAAATAAATTATGACTTTGTAATCGTGAAATAGTTTTCATTGTAATGTAGGATGTTTATTTGCATTTAATTCGTGAGTATTCCCAACAAAAATGTGTGATATTTTAGTGCATGCTTAATAAGGTACGCAACTACGCAAGACAAATTATAACAAGTAATCAAACGTTTTTGCAAACAAGCACTGGGAGAGCCAGGAACTAACAAGATACTCAAACGAACGAACAAAATAATTAAAATGAATTTTTACCTTTATCTTTTTTTTGAAATAGGAGAAATTTAATAAACAGTGGTTAGTAGAACAATACGGGTTTTCTGAAGTCAAACTGCAAGTAAAGTGTTACAGAGTTTAGAATTTGCCAATAAGAAATGCATAATATTTATAGCTAACACAGCATGTCAGAAAAAGTCAATAGACATTTTATTCCTTTTGATTTATGAAAATAAAACACATTATTTGATATTTTTTTTTTAATCTAGGGATAAAATCTTTAAAAATCGAGAATGTAGGGAAGATTAACTAGCCAATCATTCTTCTAAAAAATTGAAAAAAATTGGAAAATAGCTAATTTTCAAATTTGAACCAACCCAGATTGAAATTAACCGAAAAATTACTCAAGGACTGCCTCTATCATGCAGTTGCCACGTACAAATCTGTTTGAAATGATAACTTCAAATAGTTTGTAAACACTATTACATTCAGTCAACCAAGTTTTCTCGTAAAATTGTCATATATTTCCATTTTATAACCATGTGTTATTGGGCGGATATCAGTTAAATTTCAACCAGAATCGGTCCAAATTGTATAATCATTAATTTTTCTTCAACTTTGCATTTTAATTTCTTTTTATTATATATACTACTGCATATTTTTCTACTTGTTTCTTGAAGAATTTATCCATGGGCTTGTAAAAAAATATTATGAAATTAGATTTTTATTTTCATACATAAATTTTCCTAAAAATTTACAAATGTTCATCAAATTCTTTTTATGATGTTTTATTGAATATTTATATCGTTCATTTATTAATGCCAAATTTTATCTTCTAAAGCAAAGCACCTCATTTGTTAATAAACAATTTTTAAGTTTCCTCTGAAAAATACAAGGAAATATGTTAATAAAATATACATATATACATGTATTTTTTTAAAATTAATTAAAAGGTTTTATGTCTTAATTGCCCTCTTATTTCGTAATGTAAGTGCTGGAAAGTAGAGGGAGTGAAAAAAAAATATGATAATTATATTCATTCGAAATTTTTCTTCTAAATGCATTAATACGAAGGGTATAAATTGGTACATGTTCACCTGCTTCTTAAAGGGGAAAGTTAAACATGCAGTGTAGGGGTTACTTTCAGTGTCATGAAGGAGTGTTCGACAATGGTTTTTCATGAGATTCAGATGTGGTTTAGGACTAGCATTCTTTTTATTCTTTCGAAATTTCAGGTTAGTTGTGCTGGTGTGTATTTTGATGAATTAATTTCTATGTTATAAAGGAATATATAGCAATATACACCGTAATTGGTGGCCTGTGTCCCTTTCGGAAGCCTACTAGAAAGAAATATTTCAAACCCGATATAATTTATTGATTCTATCCAATATGCAAAAACTTTCGTAAATACATAGGCAATATATAATTTTTTTTTTTTTTACCTTTTGTGATCAATATTAAGATTGAGTGGAAGAATTAATGTTTTCGATATCATTTATTACTTTTTTGATAGTTATAAAAAAAGTTGATTTCTATAAATGGCAATGTTTTTTCCCCTGATATTGATATAAAGGAACTTATATTTATTATAGTGTAAGAAGATTTCAAAACTCTATCGAGTGGCGAACTATTTTCTCAGTCCTGAAATTGTTCACACATGCTAATGGTATGATCTTGATCCGCCATATAGGGAACTTTAGTAGTAATTCTTCTAGATATTGACAAACCCGTGAAATACAACACAATCAAAACTACTGTTTCTGCAAGTAAAAGATAACTGAACCACATGGGTGTAAAGTTTTCCATTAAAATCCCAAGAACTGGAGGATTTACCGAGCTTCCGATAGAAGCAGCTACTAGGAAAATGGAGGCTACCTTTCCGGTTACACGTACGAATTTCATTTCTGTCCACATCACGACTGTAGGAAAAATCACAGACAGAGCGAAACCTAGAAGGCACGTAAACAACCAAATCCCTATTGTTACGTCATACAATGATGTTATTAGAAAACCAAAAAGAGAAATCAGCATCAACAAATTGTAGATGAATATCATTTTCACAGGACTTATGCAGTTAACGAGGAATATTCCAAGAAATCGTGCAGCGGCAAATAATGTCCAGTGGCCTGAAGTGAGGTAATTTCCTTCAGAATTTGTCCATTTTAATTCTGACACGATAAATGTTGTTAGGAAACCTGCAAACGTGTCCACTATTCCATAGTAAACCCCTACATAAACAGTCATATTAATGAATCCTGCCACTCTTAATCTTTTTTGTGACCTCTTGGTATGTTCAATTTCTTCTTTTGCTTTTTCTTTATCTAGAATTTTTTGCAAAGACATTCTAAAGAAAAGAAGAAAAGGAAATGACGTCAAGATACAAAGACAAGTTGAAATGGAATATGGAATAAATATTCGGGATGTTTGATGTTTTTCCATAGTTTTAACACACAAAACGTCACTGAAATTGTTCAAATTTGGAGCACTCATGGGGTCATATGTATTGTTATTTAAAGTACATGAAATGATTTTGTTGTCGAAGCTGTAGATGTCCTCCTGTGACATGACATAGGGTGCTGAAGACAGCGGCGATAAAATCCCTCCAAAAGCAAAGGAAAAATGTAAGACATTGAAGAAAATGTCACCTTTATTTCCCCATGTGGCCATTAGAGCTGCATTTGCACCTGTAGAGATTAAAATGAAAACTAAAAACTCCTTTTATAAATTGTCTAGATTTGATCAATATACTGCACCTGTGCAACTATAAGAAATGAATAAATAAGTTTAAAATATCATTGTTAACAAAGTGAGTTGATCACATGTTTAAATGCTGCGAAGCCCGAAATTATTATTTACTTGACGCTCCTGAAATGGATCGATAAAAGTAGTATCACTATGTTCACCTATTGTTCCACTATGACCTTTGGAAAACTTCAGTCAAGAATTAAGTTAATTGCTCTTTGTATGTTTCTGTAACTGTAAGAATGTGTATATATTTAATATCTATTATCAGAAGTATAACTCAATACTTACACGTGTCCAAACCGCCTCCAAACATTCCTTTTAGTATATGTAAGATAATCATGATCTCATATAATCCACACCATGGTATAACTGCGTTTATGATGCCAAATCCCATTGTTGTAAGAAAAGTCAGAAGGTTTCCGTCCAAGACTCCTTTATCAAACAGTAAACCCATGACGACACAGCCCAGAAGAAAACCTGCCGTGTACATGTTGAAGAATATGGATCCTTGTTTCATTGACGTGTTTGTAATGAATAAAAGATCGGGAAAAGTTGGCCCAAACTGACCTTCGATCCATCCCTGAAAAAAACTGAGTCTGGTTATATAAAACTGTTTAAAAAGCTCAAATGTGCAAAATGTGTCAAAATTTCGACAACTCAAAGGCTTCTGAAAACTCTTTAAAGAAAGAAGAGAACCAAACTTACCTCAGCAAAATACGACACAATATAGGCCAGAGTTAGTATGAATTTATTTTTAAACAATTTGTCCTGCTTCAAAGTAGCCCAGGAAATAGTTAAATCTGTGTCATTGGAACGGTCATTATGGTCTGCCTTTGCTTTGAAGGTATCAGAATCGTCCATCTTCTGCATCTTTAATGAGAAGATGAAAGAATATCATAGATGTATAATTGTACAGATAGATCAGAATACATGTAGTTTGATCGACCTTCTAAATATGTCTTCTCTGTTTTAAAGTTAAAATGTATATCGATCTGTTCAATGACGTAATCTTGGAATTCACATGAACTAGCTACGGGTTAAAAATGGAAATGCTGAGAACGTTTGACAAAGGAGATATACATGTATGACATGCTACTTGTAGTTCAGAATTCTATTTTTATATGCATGTAGCAGCTTGGGGACATTATTAGTGTTTATCCGCTGATCAAGATCATGTTTATGCTTTTTAAAATGTCATAAATAAAGTTTTGAGTTTGTAACCTGGAACAAATATCACTTTGAAAATCGAAGTTCTAATGAATAATATAAACGCATCATTAGTTTATGCTACAAATGTAATTAATTTTATCACCAGAATTGCTATATGAAATTTGAGTGGATCATTAGGGGTTTATACTTTAAGTACAATATCATTAGCTAATGGATAACCATTCCACTAATTCCACATTATAAATAGCATGTTAAACGTACAGCGCATGCTCAAGTGGATAAGAATAGTAGACTTACCTGTTTTCGTTAGTCGGAGAATAGCATAGACTTTATTCTTTGTACTCTTTAAATGCATTGTTGTGCATTGCTTCTTGAGTCCGTTTATTTATAAAGCACAGATCTCACTGATTACAATGCCGAGCTGTACATACACATACACACTGCTCAGTAACCAGTTTCATGTTTTCTTGTGTCAACTGTAATTTTTTAACGGTGCCTGTGATTATGTGTGCTATTTAAATTTTTCAACAGGTTGATTTACAAAGAAAGTATATTTGGCCACAATTAATAACAACATTTAAAGGGCTTGGCCGAGTCCTGGTCAATAAAGTAGATTAGTACTATAAATGAAATACGGGTTTTTGATCTGAAAGGGATTGTTTGAGTATTAAAAATGGCAATTTAACGAGCTTCAAAATCTATAAGGTATTTTAAGTGATAATTGTCTATAATAAAAATACAATTATCATATTTATTGCGTCTATTTTGAAATGTCCATATACATGTACTATACGTATACTATATGCATGCATATTCTCCTCTTAGCAAAAATAAATTACTTGTATTTTGTCTGCATAGTGCAAAATAGAAAATCAGTAAGTAAAAATTCAGAATATTAACATTCCATTCTACAGTTTGCAATTTACTAGAAATTAAATAGTATATTAAGGCTCCCGGATAAAGCAGATAAATGTCCGTATGTTTATAAAAATAGTTAATAAGTGTCAGTTTGAATAATTTAGAATTCCACTAGTTTTAATTATTTGTATTGATATACATCTATCTCGCTTCAGCTGACACCACCTTATCCCTGGGGAGTCATGATTTCAAGAAACTTGAATCTTCACTACCTGGGGATGCGTTCGTATCAATTTGACTATCAGAGCTTTGTTTTTCTTGAGAAGATTTTGAAATATGAACTCCTAAATATTCCTATGTAAAATTTTGATCGCCTTTCGTAGCTCCACCCTATCCCAGGGGTCATGATTTGAACAAATGTGAATCTACAGTATGTAATGAAGCTATGTCATAAGTTTCATCTTTTCTGGCTCAGTGGTTTTAAAGAAGATTTCGAATAATTGCCATTTTTTTTTTTTTATATAAATTCCAAATTATCTCCCACTGAGAGAGAGACTGAGCCTTCATTTGAGCAAACTTGAATTCCCTTAATGCAATGATATTTTTGGCAAGTTTGACTGGAACAGGTCGAATGGTTCCTGAAGAAGCCAAAAATGTGGAAAGTGTAGAACATCGAGAATGCCAACAACGGCAAGGACGGCAGACAACGGACGATTTTTGCTAACAAAGAAGCTCACTCAGGTGAAGTAAATGGAAATATTCTGTTTAAACAGTTTTGTTGTCAAAACATGTTTGAGAAAATTATCAATTATACATGTTTACACGTTTCCAAGTCCTTGGAGATAATAGTAAATACAATGAAACTGATCACTCAACCAATAACCTAAACTCTATAGAAACGTGATATACATTTATCCAATTTCAACATACGTTAAGAATATGCTAACCAAATTATATCTTTACAAGAGGCCCACAGGCCTTATAGGTCACCTGAGTATCATGCAACAACTTCGCCACAATGGATTCATATTTTAAACCAGAGGCCATGAAATTTACAATTTCGAAAGAGGCACACTTGCTCCTCATAATTTTACATTTAGTAAGCTTACTTAATACCCAGAAAGAGAGCAGAGGATTATCAAAGAATTAATGCATTCTCACTATGTAATCATTAGAGCCCTGCCCTAACACCAGAACCATGATGCAGGGGCCATAAAATTCACAATTTTGGAAGAGGCATCCTTACATATCATAACAATACTCTTAGTTCATCAGCTTAATACCCAGGAGAAAAGAAGAAGATTTTCAAAGAATTATTGCATTTTTACTATGTAATCATTAGAGCCCCACCCTAACACCAGAACCCCTGACCCAGGGGCCATGAAATTCATAATTTTGGAAGAGGCACCTTTACTCATCATAACTATGCATCAGTTTGTTTGTTAAATACCCAGGATCAAAGAAAAAGATTTTTAAAGAAATAATGCATTATCACTATATATTCAACAGAGCCCCACCCTAACACCAGAACCCCTGACCTAGGGGCCATGAATTTCACAATTTTGGAACAGGCACCCTTACATATCATAACTATACTCTTAGTTCATCGGCTTATTACCCAGGAGAAAAGGAGAAGATTGTCAAAGAATTATTGCATTTTTACGATGTAATCATTAGAGCCCCGCCCTAAAACCAGAACCCCTGACCAGGGGGCCATGAAATTCACAACATAGGAATAGGCACCCTTATTCATCATAACTATATGCCTTCAGTTTGTTTGCCCTGGATCAGAGAAGATTTTTAGAAGAAATAATGCATTTTCACTATACATGTATATTCAACAGAACGCTGCCCTAACACCAGAACCCCTGACCCTGGGGCCATGAAATTCACAACTTTGGAAGAGGCACCTTTCATCATCATAACTATGTATTTATTTTGTTTTCATAATATCCAAGAGCACAGAAGAAGCTTTTTAAAGAAATAATGCATTATCACTATATATTCAACAGAGCCCCACTCTAACACCAGAACCCCTGACCCTTGGGCCATGAAATTCACAATTTTGGAAGAGGCACTCTTTCTCATCATAACTATGTACTTAGTTCATCGGCTTAATACCCAGGAGCAGAGGAGAAGATTTTTGAATAATTAATGCATTTTCACTATATAATCATTAGATACCCGCCCTAACACCAGAACCCCTGACCCAGGGGCCATGAAATTCACAATTTTAGAAGAGACACCTTTCCTCATCATAACTATGCATATTGTTTGTTTCCTAAATACCCAAGAGCAGAGGAGAAGATTTTTTAAGAATAATGCTTTTTAATACATATTCAACAGAGCCGCACCCTAGCACCAGAACCCCTGACCCTGGAGCCATAAATTTCACAATTTAGGTAGAGGGCTCAATGCTTATTACATTCATGCCAACAGTTTGCCTGCTTGATGTCCAGGAGTAAAGAAGAAGATTTTTAAAGATTGCATTAATTCTGATGATTTTAGCCCCACCCCTCAGGCCCCAGGGGGGTAGGGGTCATGAATTTCAAAATTTTTACTCCCCTTCACATATAGATGCTATGTGCCAAATATGGTTGAAATTGGTTCAGTGGTTCCAGAGAAGAAGCTGAAAATGTTCAAATGTTAACGCACGACGGACGACGGACGACGCACGACGCACGACGACGGACGAAAACAGATAGCAATAGGTCACCTGAGTAAACTCAGGTGACCTAAAAATGTAAAAGGTGAAGATAACTGTGATCGATCTCAAAAGATCTATAAACAATACAAATATGTGAAGAGGGCATAAAACACGGACCTTGGAAATTTCAGAGGTGGGATCAGGTGCCTAGGATGAGTAAACATCCCTTGTTGACCGGTCACACCTGCCGTGAGCCCTCTGTATTGATCAGGTAGACGGGACATTCACTATTCAAATTCATTATAAAAACAAAAGCCTAACAAATGGTATGAAAACAGTCAGCAAAATTACAATCCAATAATAGGTCATATTTGCTAACAAGGCCATTATGACGACCATAGAATTTACGAAATGCTAACTTTAAACGAGGTTGTTGAAATCCCTGTACATGTAACATACGTAAACGTATCAATGAGTAGCATGCCACGCTTTAAAAATTGATCTTATTCGGAGCAAGCTCTTGAGTAGCGAATAAGTTGTGACACATAAACACCATAAGTAGGTGATAAAGGAATAATACGACAAAAATAAGGAAAGTAGACGTTGGAAAAGCTGAAGTCATCTCGTTTATTATACAACTTAGTTATTATTTGGCCCTTATCGTCTATTGTCAGTTAAACATCCAAATATGTAACAGATGTGGCAGACACTGTGGTGTCTTTTATTTTAAGTTCACTGGGATATAACGAGACGACATATGAATGAAAATAACTATTGTTATTAGATAAAACATCGTCGATATATCTGAATGTTGATTGACGACCACAGCAAGTGTTTTCGTCTTCTCATGTACCAGTTTTTTAATAAGTTCTGCTTCATAGGAATATAGAAATAGGTCAGCTTTACAGAAGCACAGTTAGTGTCCATCGAAATTTCAACAGTTTGTTGGAAAACTTGGACCCCGAAGACTAGATAAATGTTGTCAATGAGGAACTCTTGAATCCTTTTGATATCAATTTCAGATTACCTGTGTGTACAATCAGAGTTGTCTTTTTCTGATGACAAATCACAAGATGTGAAAATTTCCGAGTTCGGTTTTTATTTAAGAAGCAGTTGTCTATGATATCAAAAAGTCTAGATTTTAATTTATCGTGAGGAATTGCTCTTTAAAGTGTAGAAAAATCGTTGATGTTTTGATGTTATAGATTTTTGAAAAATTTTTGAGAATGATTGAAATTCAAACTTAATTAATTTCGTTCCTCATAGAAATGTTGATTACAAAATAAAATAATTTCATGTCTCAGAGTCATTACAGCGTATGGAAAGTAATACTTAAGCATGTGAAGAAAACTGTGTACAGATATACATGTATGCGAGGTATAAATAGATTTTAAATACGTATCATACATCACAAAACTGTGATTATGTCATAGGTTTTCACGCATTCGTTGAAACGGTTATGGCTTCATGATAAATGTTACTAATACAAGGTTCTAGATTTAAAAAAAAAAAAAACAAGCTACTATTATGCGCAGTAACTCTATCTTTGTATATGACATTTTTTGGATCCTCTCATGTTCTTTTCATCTGTTTTTTGTGATATTTTTGGATCATCCCTATGTTCCTAACGTTTGGCCTTTGTTACATTTTTGGAACCTCCAATGTTCCTTACAATTTGTGTTTGTTACATTTTTGGATCCTCCCATGTCACTTACATATGGTGTTTGTTACATTTGTTGATCCTCTAATGTTCATTTTTAGCTGATTGCTACATTTTGTGATCCTCCCAAGTTCCTTTCATTTGGCTTTTATTACATTTTTGGATCCTCCTACGTATCTTACAACAGGTATATGTGACCTGACCTGTGTCCAGTATTTGATATGGATTGCAAGAGGGTTACGCTCTTCTGAAGAAATGGATTATGTTAAACCTTGTAATATAGAAATACAGGTAAATTAAAGTATTTGCGATACTGATTTTTAACATTTATTTTTGACACTCTGTGGACTTCTGCATCGAATAAATTGCTTTTGCATATCATTCTGAGCCTTGACAGACTCGAACTTCTTTTAAACATTCATTTGACGAAGCCTGAACATTTTATAAAACTACTGTTACAGGCCCGTGAGGGGTGGTGGTGGTGAAGATGGGGGAGGTCTGGGAAGTCTTGATTTGTTTTTTTTGCAAAATAAAAGTTTTGAAGTTTTCCAATTAGAAACTTTATAGAGAGAACACATATGCTGGACGTCTTTTACCTTCTAGACGTCACACATGTCATACATATCAAACTTACTGTTTATCTACGCCTCCACAAATATTGTTTTCAAAACTGCAGATTTGATATAGAAATTCTTTTTTGTATTTCTTTTTTTTTTCTCAAAAATCTATTAAAAATTTTAATTTTTTTTGCTTTCATGCAAAATCATTCCCATTACAAGATATATGAATTAATTATTCTAGCATTTATTTATCAAATGTTGAATATCATGTAATCAAACATTCTTCAATTTTCTTTAAAGTACCCGTACTTATATATTTCATTGCTAAAACGAGTCCTCTTATCTTGTTGTTTAGTATCTGAAGCATTTTCTTTTGTATTTCAGACTGCCGCTGGTTGGTAGTTCCAATTAGTAATGATTAGGAAAATGGGTTTATCAGCGTAAAACTCCACTCACATTAACACCTTCTTCAATACAGAAACATACCAACTTTTCAATGGGAATTTCTTAAATGAATAACTCAACCGCTAATGAACTAGGTCTTGGTGATGCCTTAGTGCAAGAATTAAAAATAGGGAACATGTCAAAACAGACAGAAGAATGTTCAGGATCAAGACGGGATGGCGGGAATTTTTGGTTTAAAATGAAGAAAGACCAACTCTTTAGAAGTAAATTCATACTGAAACTAGCATACATCGCCTCCTTTCTAACACTTGTAAGTATAGAGATCCACTAAGTATTCATATTTTTCAAAATTATTATAATAATAAAATACTGTCTTTTAATATTTATATACGATTTTAAGGTTCCAGCTATTGCAATGAACAGGTTAGGTTTTTAGTCTGCAATAGCTGGATGTAAATTAAAAAAAGAATTAAATTAAGTTGATAGAAATTGAGTTTTATATAATTTTTTTCTTAAAACTATATAATACAAGGCATTACAGCTAATTATATAAAGAAATTGAACATTTCACGTAATGCTTACAGTGTATATTGACTTAATATTATATGTGAACATTTACCAGTGTTCCAAAGCCATATCAGTAAAGTCCAGGGATATGACCTCTGAACTTTATCTTTGTGTCCTTATTTGATTTTAACATCAGAAGGCCTTGATTATATAACAGATTAGGAAGAAAGACAAATGCCAGTTTGGGGAAGAAAGATAAAAATGAAGTGTACATTTGTGGAAAGCATGCATACCAAACATATTTATCATATTAAATCGGGATAGGGATACAGTAAATTTTTTACTTTATTTATTCATTTATTCATTAATTCATTTATTTATTTATTTTTGATGATTTTTTTTTCTATTGAGAATGAAAACCGACAAGAAAGAACAGTACTATTTGCTTATCAGGAAGTTATTGGGACGTGAATTGTAAGTTCTATATGAACTTATTTCTCTTATCCGCATTTAAAACATATGATATGGGGATTCGAAAAAGTTATAATTTCCTAGTAATTGATGATACCTTGTATCAGAGTTCCATATATTCTTATAAGCATTTATTGTACCGTGCCATTTTAGTATTGCTACATGTATGTAACTGTGTAATATTGAGTGATATTTTACTCAATTTGTACAAACTTTAAAAAGGCACTGTGTGTGTCATAACATTTTTTGAGATTACGACTTTAAATATATCGATGACACTAAAACTTGCCTAACCCGGACACTTCTTTTTCCAAAGGGAATGGTCTGATTATACAACATACATGTATATAAAAAACATTTTAAACAATTGAATTTATTCAAAGAGAATAGTAATAGTTCTCATCTTAACAGACAAGATTTTGGATTAAACAACAAGAAAAGCTTCAATGATATTGATATATTGTTTCTTTATTCCTTTGGAAAATTATTGCAGGGATGGAGAGAGGGACAGTTTGGACCTACGTTTCCAGATCTGCTAAATATCACAAACACAACACTAGAGAGAGGCTCCCTATTCTTCACCATGAACTCTGTGGGTTATCTCCTGGGGTCGATGCTGATTGGTTTTCTGTTTGACAAGCGTCTCTTGGATAGAAACCTTCTGATGTTTCTGATCATTGCCGGATATGGCACCATCTTTGTCATTATACCGTGGTGTGGAATTTATGAGGTTATGGTCACCGTATTCATTGTTAAAGGGTCCTTTGCAGGCGGCTTGGATACGTGTAAGTGCATATACACTAATGCAATGTCCCATTACTCTAGTTAACTATCATTTAGTAAAAACTTTGATACTTTGATTTAGTATAAAATTTTATTTTATAACATTTAAAACAGTGATATAAAATCTTTAACTAATTGAATAAAGTTGAATTTTAGAAATTTTTATAATTTTTTAATAGAAAAATATCAAAAGTGCGGCAAAGCTCTCGACGTTTTTCTCTTTGCCAGAAGAGTTTTGAAAAAAAATTCCTTGTCTGTTATAAGATATTAAGAGAATATAAACTTTCATGACCAAAAGTAAAAATGTCTAAGTTTCTCAAATTGTTAAAATCAATATTTATAATTTTTCCATCTCACAATTGCTTAACTCTAGCGTTTACAACCGCTAAACCAGCCCCGTAGAACGCAGGGGCCGGGGGCGAGGGTCCCCCACTTTTCTGAGTATAGTATTTTGGTATAGTAACTTTTCCTTTAGATGCTGGTAGACCCCCCCCCCCCCCACACACACACACTTTTAATTGTTGTAAGGGTCAATGTCGAGCACTGATAAAATCCAGGGTATGGACAGTTAAAGTGTTTTTCTCTTTTTTCTGCTTGTCAGATTTTTTTAGGAAGTCCCCCTCCCCCCGCCACTATTGAAACCGTTGCTACGAACCTGTAAACTCCAAGCCTACAAAAATGCGTTAAGATCTAGCAAAGTCTGTAGAGAGTCGACGTCAGAAATATGTAATAATACAGGTTAATCAAAATTTATTGCTTTCTTATTACACTTGTAAATAAAGAAATATATTCCACTCGTATAGAAGAGGATTTGCTTTTTATACTTTCACTCTTGCTTTGCACTCGTGAAATTATAAATATAAGAAAGAAATCATGTCCTGCACGTGAAATATATTCAATACCTAACCATAGAGCATTGAATAGTCACTATTCATTTTACTTTGGTAAAGCGAGTTCAGATAAATGATAACATAATGACTTTAATTTGAAGAGAACTACAGTTTTCAGATGAAATACACATTTAAAAAAAAATAGTTTATGAATAATTACACTGAGGGAAGTATCAAATCAAAACAGAAAAAAATATGTGCAAAAAATTAGGGATTTCATTTGCATTTAAACACTAAAAGGTAACGAAATATCGTTTAAGTGCTTAGTTATCTATGTGTAATTGATGCATATACATTGCATAATTTGTCTTTAATCTGAACAGGCGGTAACGCTGGACTGGTAACCACGTGGGGAAGCGAGGGAGGCGCCTACTTCAGTGCTTTACATTTCGCTTTAGCTGCTGGTGCAATTCTGTCTCCCCTGGTTACTGCTCCTTACGTCATGTCACCTAGTGATGACGTACCTATGAGAACTTTTACCAACAATGTCAATTCAACTAATATTACTGATACTCTCATTGATATAAACAGAAAAAGGTACAATATATCTAATCTGAACTCCACTCGCAATTCCCTTGAGGATCGCTCATCAATGATTTATATTCCATATACAGTAACTGCGGGACTTTGTTTTATGACATCACTTCCGTTTATTGTTTTTTGTGGTATATCTCTGATGAAAAAAATTGACAGCAAAACTTCCGAGATAGAAAGAGGAAAGAAAAAGAACACTGATCGACGCCTACGAATCCTGGCTCTAATGAATATTCTTATTTATATAGCATTGTATGTAGCTATAGAGAAATCATTCATATGCTTTCTTACATCATTCATTTCGTCACAGTTGAGTTGGCCAATTGCCGATGGAAGCTATCTCACTTCCGGTTTTTGGGCTTTATATGCTGCTGGACGCTTTCTTGCAATTTTCCTTGTGCGATGTGTTAGTCCGGCGAAAATCCTCTTTGTGTTTAATTCTATGCTATTGTTATCTCTACTTGGCTTTTATCTTACTTCAATTTACAACGTTACATATGGCATATGGATATTTACATTATTTACAGGTTTTTCTTTGTCATTGACTTTCCCGATAATTGTTATGTGGATGGAATCGAAATTTCTTCGGGTAACTGGAAAAGTTGCTTCTATGTTTCTGGTAGCGGCATCTTAGGGTTTTTAATGGAGACCTATACCTTAATGTGGTATACTTACCTGTTGTTTGGGGAAGCAGTTGTCTTATATATCCTTTATTTCATAGGTGTTTACATTTCAAGAAAGATTGCATCAAGCCATCCAATCATAACAGACCAGGAACTCACTGTTCTATCGGGAACTTAATGCAGCTAATTCATTGTTGCTATGAGTTAAGAAACAGTTTGGGGTTTTTTTGGAAACAGAGACTTATATCGGCAAGGGATATGCATGTAGCACATTGCATTTCATGCATACTAGGTTGTTATTTGAATTTTCATGTTTCAGACTACCACCGGTAGTTTAGTAAAAGAACTGTCGCATATTTACTGTTGTATGATTGGAGACATTTACATATGTAAGTACTATTAACTGATTTGTCGAAAGGCACATATTTGCAAATTATAGTAAGTTATAATCATATATATGTACCATTTCTAATAAAACTAAACCTTTGTTTAGCAAATTTATGATCATTGTTACATTTGCTTTGTCAGGACTTTACATTTCATTACTTCTTATTCATCAAAACTTAGTTTTCATATAAGTATCACAAATGGTTTGGCACCATAACCCCTTATTATCCGCTTAACCTCAAACATGGTTTATGGATACGGGGAAGTCCTATTACGTTTCACGCAAACACCTTTCGAAGTAAACATTTCTCCAAAAGCACTTGGTTAATTTCAACCAAATTTGGTACAGTTTATACCGGAGTTAATAGGATTCAAGTTTGTTCAGAGAATGGGCTACTACGTCTTCCAAGGAGTGATAATTAAGAGGTAGATAGGGTAGGGTGATTTGAAAATCTTCTTCTCAATAAAGACTGTGCCTGAAGAAATGAAACTGACATAAGAGGCCCCTGACATGGGGTAGTTTCAGGTTTATTCAATTCATGACCCCTTGATATGTGGTATGGGGTTATTTTGTGTTTAAAACATTGCTGGGTATACATTGGAAAAATCTGTAATAATCTTCTTCGGAAGAACAACAAAGCTATGATCAGTCAAATATGTATGGAAGCATCGTCAGGAATTGAAGATTCAAGTTTGTACCTCGGAGGTACGGTGAGGCCAGAGTGGGAAATTATAGCTTTACATAGGAATAAATATGATTTTTAAAAAAGAAAATTCCTGGGAACAGTTAATCCATGGACAGTCATGTTTGTATGAAAGCATTTTCAGGTAGTGAAGGTTCAAGTTTGTTAAATTATGACCCCCAGTGTTAGGGTAGAGTTGGGCCACAATGGGCAATCAAAGTTTACATAGGAATACATAGGGCAAACATCTACTTATGAAGAACAAGAAGGGCAATCCTTACTCAGGTGGGCGTTATGGCCCATGGGTCTCTTGTATCAATGTTCCTTTTTGAAATTTTCGTATCCATAATGACACTAAAAATTCGAAGTTCAACTTTAAGGGGATAGTGACCTTCCTGACCAGTGTGACTTATCTAACAGTATGAGGTATGAAGATATTGAACAGTCATCAAGCTCAAAAGTCCATTTAAACAATACAAATCCGAAGTAGAGCAAACACATACCTTTAAAATCATCAGAGATGGGTTCAGTTGCCATGTAGTAGTAAGCATCCCCTAACGACCGGTAACACCCGACGGGTGCTCCTTGTCGTGGTGTAAATCAGATTTAGATCCTAAAAAATTCTAAAGATTTTTTAGGGAATTTAAAATGAAAAACTCAGTAACATCAAAACGTAATACTTTTCTACACTTTATACAACCATTCCTCATGATAAATTAAAAAAAAATGGGCTTTTTGAAATCATAAACAACTGCTTCTTCAATAACAACGGAACTCGGAAATTTTCACATCTTGTAATTGGTCGTCAACAAATATTTCCATGTTAAAAATCACTTTGATTCTACACAGAAGTACTCTGAAGTTGATATTAAAAAGGATGCTGGAGTTCCTCATTAACAACATTTACGTAGCCTTTGGAGACCGGGCCCCGGGATCATGAAACATCTTAAGCTTAAGTCAAAATCTTTATGTTGTACTAAAATGCCGTAGAAGTCAAGCAGGCCAAAATTAAACTATTTTACAATTGCTTTATAAAAGTTTTGTTATCTGCAAAATTAGAGATTAATTCAATAAATAATAAACATTTTACAGGCAATTGAAAATTTGACTTAAGTTTAAGTCTATTTCATGATCCTGGGGCCGGGTCTTCCAACAATCTGTTGGATTTCTGATGGACTTTTACTGTGCTCCTAAATTAGCCATCCTGATTTTATATTCCTATGAAGCAGATTATATTCAAAAACTTCTACATAAGAAAATGAAAAACACTTTCTTTGGCTTTCAACTTAACAATTAGGTATTTCGATTATGCATTATCAATTAACAATGGTCACTTTCATTCATATGTGAAGTCGAAATTAAAGACAACAAAGAGTCTGCCACATCTGTTTTATATTTGTTTGTTTTTTTACAGACTTTAGATAATAAAGGGCCAACTAACAACTAAACTGTATGACAGAGGAGATGAGTTCAATGTTTTCGACGTCCTTGACCAGAAAAGATCACTTTATCCTTTGACTTCATCTGAACTTAAATCAGTACAATCAATTAAAAATATGAATAGCAAATGATAATTCATTATTATGGCATCTATTCGTACCGAGGTTTGGGTAGATGAATTACTCATACTTAAAATATTTCCTTGTACAGACTTTCACTGAAATTGACCATAACTTGTATGATTCAAATGAAATATCAATATATGATATTAAAATTATTGACAGGAAACTCTCCTTCAAATATCACTTGTGTTTTATTTCTAAAAAACGCGAAAAGGAAGTAAATGTTGGCCAATTATTTGGCGATATATGCGATATACTTGATAAATGTATGAAGATATCTAGTTGGTGATTTCTCTGATATACAGAAGATACCAACTCTCTGAGCGAATCCTATAGTGACAGGATAGACAGGCTACTACGTACCTCAAGGAAATAAGTTTTAGATGTAAGTGGAAGTACAATTAATTAAACTTTCATGTTTCCTTGAAACCTTTTACAAGTCATTGGATTTTTTTTTATTGACGACCATTTTTCTGCCAACAAGTTATCATTTTCCTTATTTTCAAAAACTTGTCGTCATATTGTTCCCCAAATGCAGTTTAGGAATACTGTTTTTTGCAAATTTGTCTTTTAATTATGATTCTTAAATTGTTAAGGTTTTTTCGTTTCAGCCAGAAGATTTAATAGTAATTCAACTGTTCATTGCTTATTTTTTTTTTTTCATTTATGACCAAGCAATTTCTCCAATAAAAAAATTTCAATGGATTTTCGTGAAATTCATCCGAATTATTATTGACTTGAAACTTATTATACATTTTGCAAAAGTCAAATCAGACTGTGAAATATGGCCAATTTAAAAATTTTTTTAAAGAAATTTTGTCCAAAGCAGACCTTAGAAGTTTTTTTTTGACAAAAGCTTAATCTATTGTTACTTTGTACATTAAATATGATGTACAGACTTCCTAATAGTTTCAGTTTCGGAGATATAGGTATACAGGTAAAACGTATCATTGAGGGAGTTATTAAGCCAGGACAATTGAGCCCTCCCTCCGTGATCTGGAGGTCGTGAGTTCGAATCTCGGCCGCGACTGACAATTTGTAAAAAGGATAACAACAGGTTTATAATGATAAATTATTGCACTGCTCCTGGAGACACCAAAGATTAAGAGGCAAAAAAGGGGTCTTAGCCTATTTTATCCTTGATGGCGTGATTAGCTCAATTGACCAAAGCAGGGGGTTTAGTCCATACACAGCGATTTCTAGGGAATTATTCACATTTAGCGATCTATTTTTATAAAGGGAAAATTCAGTAGAGGTATAATTATAAGGCTTAATCATCAATTGCAGGATATTTTTATCAAACTTCACACAGTAATAAAATAAATGTATATCTTTTCAATATAAGATTGTTTTGAGAAATAAAAACTAATGCTTTCTGAATTGAACAAATTCCATGCAACAAGATACTTTGGATTCATTTTCTTAAATGACCTCCTATGTGTCAATTGTGCGAGCTTGTACATTTTTCGTATTTTCTTAAAAAATGCAGAAAACGCCACTGAATTTTTTTTCTTTTAGACGAAATAGTGAAAACTATATGACCGTGAATATTTTTTGGAGGAGCTTATATCAATTATGCTGACTGTTTCGCTACATAGAAAATATAGGGGCTATTCTTTCCTGAATATAACAATTTGATATATATAACTTGGCAGTTAAGCCAATTCAAAAACCCTTTAAAAACATCAATTTTTTAAGGGTATAATAAAGCCAAAATAGTACCTTCCTCTTTACCATTTCCAGTTATTTGTTGATGATCTTCAAATTTATTAGGGTTGTTTACAGTTGACAAAAACAGCTTTCCAGTCAGAATATTTATGCGTCGTGCATCTTTTCAATATCATGGTATCACTTCGCATGATAAATATTGCTCGATCCATATGCTATAATTTTAAAGGTTGTTGAATCGAAGACATTATTTTTTTTTCTTTTGAAAAAGCTTTTAAATATGTAAATTGTGACACCATACACAGAAAATACCTTTTATCTTGTCTGTATCATGACAAGATAATGATTAATTTAGCATTATGAATTTGTTTTTAACTATTAAAATTTAGCTTTATGGGCAAATGAGTTCTTATATACAGTGTACCTTCTTCTTTTGTATGTTAAGCATTTTCCTCAGACTGATCTTTCTCTTTTAGATTCATGGACAAACGATTATAAAATTTAGAGTCGCACTTTGCAATCTAAAAATGGATCCAACAATGAGACTATACACATGTAAACGCTGAAGCAGTCTGATCCTTATTAAAAAGCATTTTGGAATTAATATGTCTACCATAAATGCACCAGGTCAGGGTGATATTTTAATGCAGGATTTAAAAAACAAGGATCCGTCGAAATTGATAGAAGGAAATCCACATTCATTGGAAGATGACGGAAAGTTTTGTTTTAAGTTAAAGAAGGGACTGTTTTACAGAAGTAAATGTGTACTGACAGTTGCATACATCATCTGCTCTTTTACGCTAGTGAGTCTTGACTTTAATTATTTCATTTCATGTATAAAAAGTATTTAGTAGAAAATTGGAGGAGTCTTAACTTTT